AAAATGCACAGTTCTCTTCTGTAGCTACTCCATTTCATTCATATATACATTGTACTGGTGATCTCCCTTTGATATTTCAGATTATATGGTAGTGTTCAAGTTACTTCCCTTTGATACCTCAACAAACATTGTATTATGTACTGTATTGACAGCCTCCCTTGAATTTTCATATTTGCCTTTTTATGTAAAAATACCCTTAAAAATTATACCTCATAATTTGAACACCACACCTTTCACTACTTTCCTATACTCTACTTTGTACTTCACACAATCCATTCTAGAACTTAAATTTTCGGTGTCACACACTGAAAACAGATATATTCTGTCTTATTATTTTCAAACTTTCCTAAAACAAATGCCCTAGAGAAGATGTACGGTTCTACCCTTTCTGCTAATGAAATGTAGAAACTCGTTATCTATAGTACAATGGAACATGGCTAAAGTTCAGATTTATTTGCCCATAATTTTAATAAAATCGTTTCACAATATTTTTATGTATGAAGGGAGATGTATTTAAACTACAATGATTAGGTATAAAAAAACAAACAAAAACAATCAACTATCTTTATCAACTTCAGAGTAAACATAAATCAAATTGTTCAATTAGACACTAACCCTTAACCTGCTGGATTTCTTAAATGGACTTGTCCAGCTTCCTTTTGTTGGAACTGTCCACTACAAATTTTGGGGATACCAAGATGAAAATTAAGTTAATCAGCCAACAGTATAGAGTTTGGTTAGACTGCACGGATGCGCGGACTGGCTGGGCTCTATACAGGTGGCACAGGGTGATCACTCACAGCTCCAGCAGGTTCCGGGTTCATGGTGACTGGGTAATATTCTTAGAAAATCAAACATATTATAATCTTAACAGTCAGTCAATTATACCAATCAAAAAACCGTAACTGTTCATCACTTCAGACTGCATTTCTAATGAACAAAAAGATGGTAACTCACTGTAAAATACTCTGTTTTTATATAATGTAAAAAAATAAGGAAAAATAACCCAATCCTTTGAGGACATAACACCATGTTACTTGCCAACAAAAATTATGCCTTTGGTATAACTCCTTTCCAACTCTCCACAAATATTCAACATTTCAGAAAAAAATGTTCACTATTGAATGTAGATAGTCATTTAGCCAAGACTAGATGGTAATAAATAAAACTGACAACAAAATCATCATCACTAGCATAGCCCATCTTTGTCATCCATGGTAATACAAAACATTTAAGTAGTTATCAAACTGCCGTTAATAAAGTTTTGAAATAACATGTGATTTAAACCATTAATGTATAGTTCCAAATTCAAGAAATTCATGGATATTTATCCTAATTAAACATTATTAAGGGTGTGCATACAACACTTCCTTGACTGTTACCACCTTTAATATCACTACTATTTATATAGTTGTGACTATGTTAGGGCTCGAAACATAAACATGATCAGCCATGCTGCCAGACATCTTTATTCTGATCTAATGCAGGGACAAGAACGATATATCTATATATAGGTGATAAGCATAAATGACCACATAGGACATGTATAGTGTATAGTTTTATCCAGTCTTAAAAACCTCACTTCTGTTGTTTTAACCTATAATTACATTATACCAGGAACGGTTTTTTATCCACCTTTCTATCTGGACTACACCATTCATTTGAGTGAAAACTCTAAAGTATGGTCCTGACTGAATAGTGGGCAATACAGATCATGATCAGGGAGGATGAATGTATCAGCTGATCTTGGTATACAATGGTCACATGGTCATACTGGTGATTACTCATTTGCTACCAGCAGGCTAAAAGGTCAATGGTACTACAGATGCAACTCCTATAAAGTTAGCCAATGAAGTTTTGACAGAAATGCTTGTAAACCTTGGATGAGACATTATGGTACATTGTAAAATGAACACATATATAAAACATACATTATAGTTACCTGAACCTATCATTTTATGGTCCATACTGAATATACAAAAAGAATATTTCTTTGTTTTGGATGAAATATCAATTATATCTGACAAAGATGCAAAGTTTTCAAAATTTTCCCTACAGGCACGTAGGATGACTTTAAGAATAGTGAAATGCAAGGGAAAATAAGATATAATCTTTTATTTGTTACAAAACAAATAAATTTTCTTTTTATTTTTTGCACTAAAACCTATAAATATTAAGTTTGTACACACAGTGAGTGATATACACTGAGCGATATTGATTATATTTAACTGAGGAAAACCCGATATTTCACTGATGACTATAATGATAAATGTCATTAACATGTCGGTGATATTGCTACACGTATCGTGTCATTATCGTGATAGAATCATTATTTTACTCCAGAGCAAAATTTACATAAAACAGAAAATCTACATATTCAATGAAGTAAAAAAAAAAAAATTCTTAATTTCACATTAATAAAATGTACTATAGCCATAAATTAATGATAGTGAATTTGCTACCTTAAATTCATAGTGTTGATTTTTTCAAAAGAAAAATAATTGTATAAATCGGCTATAAAAAAAATTGGCAACACAATTCTTAATTAAATGATAGTGTAACTTTTCAATATAAAGAAATTGATTCAAACTGATAAATTGAAATACAATCATCATATTGCAGAATAAGACCACACGGTTACACAGAATAACTATTGTCTTACCAAGGCATGCCATCAGAGTCCCCCACCCCCACCCTTACACTCCTAATCATCCCCAAAAAGTCACTATTTATAAATGATTCATAAATATATCAAAACAGGAACTGATTAAGTTTAGACGTATTAACTTATTATCTACTATTCCCTTACTGAACTAAAGTTAACAGTAAAAAAAATTTAAATTCACAAGTACACTTCACGTGGGTTATCATATATATACACTATGAGATTTTCTAATTTTTCGGGCGATCAAATCGAAAATACACAATATTAATGAGATTAAATATACAAAGAGAAACATATATAAACACTTTCTTGTTATCACATACAATGTTTACATTGTGAAAATACTGTACAGGGAGACTGTTGTAAGACAAAAATAAATCACAGAATTAGGCAAATTGTATGAACCTACGTTAGTTTCCTGACAATTATTCTATCTTTTTACTAGTCTTGTTAAGATGCTGACACAGAACTTTCCGTATTTCCGTCGGCCATTGAGAAACTATTGTGTAATCTCAGTATGCTGTAAGTGAATGGTTTTTCCTTGGGTTTCTACTTTGTCACTTTCGTTGTTGATGTTTTTTCTGAAAGCAATTAGCGTGGAAATATTTGGCACTGTTTTAATTAATTTGTATCGTTACCATGTGTGGACACATCATACCTGACTAAATTAGAATCAAATTGTGTTGAATTAATCAAAGTCTGGACTTACAATTTGTATTCTCTGTTGAAGGAAACATGTTATGTCACTTCAAATAAAGAAATTTCCATTTAAACTTTTAAGATAGGTAACTGTGAACAATTCACGGAGAATTAATAAAATTAATCATGTACTATCATTTGGCAGCATCGGCAAGGTATAAATCTGGTTCAACAATCAATATTTTTGTTGTTGTAAAACTACGATATTTTCAGATGTTATACCACGCTATTTATCTTAAAATGGACTTGTCAATCTTTCAATTAGTACAAAATCATTGATCGATTTTATAAAATTTCAAAATATATACGGACTGAATAGTGAACAATAGACAGCATTGATGCGATACCCGATCTTAGTTAGGTATGTCACATTTTAACGAGTATGGTCGGTTTTAAGCTAAAAACCAGTTAGAAAATTTAATAATCAGTAACCAAGGTTAGTGTAAGACTAAACAGCCGAGAAAGTTTTAAATTGATTCCAAATCCTATCTTAATTTTCATAACAAGATACAACATTTTGTTTGTATTATAACTGTAACAATGTTATTTTTCCGATGACATACAATCTGATATTAAATGTTATGGTCCTACCAACCTTTACACCCCTAACTGGTCCCCTTGGTAGATCCAGTTGTCACCAGTGGACTACGGGTTAATTAATGAAAACCTAACAATTCTGAAATTGTATTCATGTTAACTGAAACTCTTGTATCCCTGTGGCAATATAATTAAATTTCATAGAAGGGGCGGGGAAATCTTTCTTTTATACAAACAAAGTTATCACTAACTTAAAATGGAACTCGGATGACACTTTAACGGTCCACTAAACTGCCAGAGACATTAACTCAATGTTTTAATATATCCTCAATAAAGGAATTTCAGAGCTTTATTATATTTTGTTCGGTCATTTGTCAGCATGCAATAAATTTATCAAATGAAAATTGAAAACCAAGTTCTTATCTTATATAATTTTCTTTATTTAAGGTTTTGAATTTTGGTATCAACTCTTGATGTCAATGTCTAACAGTCTTATTCACGACCAAAATAGACTTGGAAATGCAATGAGTCATTCAGACCTCTACAGTTTTTGTTCAGACCTCAGCAAACTTATATACCCTATATTATCATGAAACCAGAAGGTAAAACAGGTAATGGGGTGTTAGTAAAAGCTACAGGTTTGATTTTTAACACAGAATTATAACTAAATACCATTTATAACAACAAAAGCATGTAGTAAGCTACACAACAGGGCAGACAGACAGAGAAATCTTTGTTATTAGATTACAAAACTTGAAATTTCAGACCAGTCTACCAATCTAGCCATATGATTGGATAATTGTGTTTGCAAAATTTGAATATGACCAATGGTTGAGCTCCATTTCTTGACTGGTTTCAAATTTCTTATTTATAATCTTTCACTGTGTGCACAATGTCAACTACTTCAAACATTTTTTCTATCCATTCAAAAAAACATCAGAAACATTTTTTTCTCAGCAATTGAGTCTCATTTATGAAACAAAATAGGCATTAAACTACACAAAATATATTTTGCTCTAGAAGATGCCATGTTTGAAGAGTTGTTGACAAAGCACTCGAAAATTTTCAATAAATAAAGATACATTACTTTGAAAATATACGGTATTTATAGCTTTATTTCAATACATGAACAATTTTTCTCCCGACGAAGAATGAAAAAACAAACAATAGCTACCAGATATTCAAAAGATTAATTAATATATATACAGAATTTAATCACAAAATTGTACTGACAAAAAACTTGACTGACAATAGTTCTAGTTTATGAATATTATTGTAACACAATACAAACATTGTCAAATAATGTGCCAGGACAGACCAATTATTCATTTATTAATAAAATATTACACTAGACTTTCATAATTATATATCAGAATATCTTGATACATTACACTAGAGCCAGGGCAAAATGTCATATGAACAATCAAATAGGAAATTCCAACTTTTGTGTAATATTGCTGTTGCAAGGAAAAAAGAAATATATTCAAGATTATTATCTACAGCCAAGATGTTATTTTTTCTGCCTATTTCTCTTAAATACATGGATAAATAAATAACAGATTTAAGGAAGTTTTTAAACGATTATAACAGTAACATCTTTGTTTGTCAGTTAATATGGAAAACATGCCAGTCTTTCAAAAAGTATACACTCCTAGTAGAATTTTAATTATTTGAAAACCATGTACTTTATTAAAATTTCTAGGTACAGGTTCAAAATTCATTTATAAATATTCAATGAGTTAAGAGGTAAAATAGTTATGCAGGTAAAAGAGACTTAAGATAAGAGTGCTCAAGTTATTTTGCATCAACGATGAATTACCTATCTCAATGATTTCTTTATATATATGTGTACTTATATGTGTAATCTTAACTCACATAAAACAATTAAAATATGAACAGTTGGAAAAAACAAAATGACTGAATATTAATATCCCTGTGAATTTATGTGCATAAAAAAAATGGGGGGAAAAAAATATGATTATTTCATTTGAGTTGTTTTGACAAGGACATATACATATATATATATAATTATATTAAAATGATGCAAAATAAAGATTTTTTACATTCCCAGCTGCAAATTAATATTAAACACATTCTGTACATAAAAAAGGAAAATATTTCATACAGCTTTATTTTCTATGTCTAAGACAATTTAGCACTGTTCCTGACAAGATATAATTGTCCAAGAGGAAAAAATACAAACTGTTCTTCACATATGTTTCTAGCCAAACTGAAAGCATTTCAGGCCAAATATATCCCTCAAGTCCTATACAATGTCATTATACAATGTTAATATACTGATAATACGTTCAATTCTAGATAAAACACCCAAATCTTTTACAACTTTATCCTGCTGATTTTATTCTTCCCTACATATCATAAATGGACTTGTCCATCTCTGAATCTGGACAAAACTATTCATCATTAATGATTTGTAGGGAAATTTCAAAAATATGTAGCAATTCTATAGCAAACAGTGCAAAACAAGATCAGTGTCGGCTGATCTTGGACTGCACTGGTTTTATCAACTTATCCAAACTCGCGCTCTTGTTCCTCAAAATATCATATATTTCACATCAAAACATTTTTTTCTATGCTTTACTTGTAAAGTTTAGTTTTATTTTTCTTCTGGTGTTTTTATCAACTTGGCAGAAGAAAAGAGCAAAATTAAATTTTCTTTCAATATTCTTTATAAAACAAATTGCATCATGAATTTGATGTGTGCTTGAATATTTGAAAATACATACATTGTATAAATGACTCTGGGAAATATTTGTTCCAAACACTTTTAGAAGACAGGATGATAAAAAACAACTTTAATCTGTATATATGCAGATATGAAAACTTCACACATGTCAAGTCATTACACTGCCTCCGTACATGTAGAAGAGATACGAGGGCTTCGTTACCATAGAAACTACCACTGTTAGGAGGAGAAAAGGGAGTAGCTCGTGACACAGGAGGTTACACGTGCAAACACGTGCATTTTAAGACTGTGCAGTTGCAGTAACGCTATTAGGCAGTGGTGACATGCTCGGAGTCAGAACTGGTGAACTGGAGACTGGCACCGTATTGTTAACATTCCCACCTAAACAGAGGGGAAAAAATAAAAAAAAAAATTACAGAGAAATACAGAAAAACATGAGGACAGAAAAGCTTTGCAGGGTCTCAAACTGCTGTTTATGATATTGTAAATAAAGCAAGATTTGGCATGAAATAACTTATATATCTAACTTCTTTACAAAATAAATCATTTTATGCTTAACATTCTGAAAATTCTCAAAATTACAAAACAAATATTAATGGTGTAAAATTTTTAATTTACCAAAATTATTGATTTAAAATTTGAATTTTTTTAAAACATTTTTTATGAAATTTTTTTTTTTTTGAAAAATTAACTTTTAATGTTATTACGGAAGTCAAACAGTTGAGGCCCTGCATTCAAAGCGGAAAAGCATTTTGATTTCTGTAGCATATCTTTTTTTTTCCTGAAGAACTTAATAAACACTTCACTAAATATACATAATTATACCAGTAATGTACTTCATTTGCATGCAGTATTAATGAGCCACGCCATGACAAAACCAACATAAAAGTGTTTGCGACCAGCATGGATCCTGACCAGCCTGCGCATCTGTGCAGTCTGATCAGGATCCTTACTGTTCACTTACAAGCCCTATTACAAGTAGAGAAACTGATAGCGAACAGAATGGATCCTGATCAGACTGTGCGGAAGCCCAGGCTGGTCAGGATCCATGCTGGTCGCAAACCCATTATGTTGGTTTTTTCATGGCGCGGCTCATTTATATTATCAGAAATGCCACATAGCTTACATTGATAAAGCATGAACACAACTGCAAAGTAGGTGGCTGCATCTAACATTGACTTTAAGGCAAAGACTCATTCTCTCATAAGCACTTTATATATATTTATTATATACCTTTAACATTAAACCTTACCAAATAAAATCTGCCTAATGAACCTGCGGTGCTTTATATTTGACAAGCCCCTTTGTTAAAATCACATGATTTCAAGATGGAAGTTTGCAGTGAACTGGTAAACGTATATATATTCTGGGTAAACTTCATGAAACTTCATGCTGCCAAAGCTCTTTACTGTTCGATAGACCCACCATTACTATAACACCCTCTCAAAGATTTATTTAAAAATTCTAAATAGAATCTTTTAAAGCAAATTCTGATTGTTTCAAATTAATTTGCTCATAGTATCATCCCCCAATCTCAAAACAATGTCACTGATTATACTACATGGAAATAATTTTCAACAATCCTTATATTTCAACTAAGTTGTCTGTAGCTTTTTAAACTAAACAGCATACTTGCAATTTCAAAGACATTATAAAATGTAAATAAATGAACCTAATGAAACAATGTATGACAATTTCCTGAAATTAACCCAAAGCCCACAATATGATTCACAACAATATTAACACAGAACCCTTAATAAAGAATATACAAAATATGTCCAAGAAAAGGATAATTATGTATGCAGAAGGACAAAATGCTTTTCTTTTTCTCTCCTCATATTTATCAAGAGAATATTATATCTTTTAGACAAGTATTAAGTGGTATAATAAGTATCCATTCTATTTATCAAGACAGTTAAAAACATCAGAATTAAATTTTTTAAGGAAAGAAAAAACAATTAGTTATCGTGAAATTTCAATATAACTTTTCTGTTTCTATTGTTAAGTGTATAAATCCTAAAGTTAAAAGATAATACTGTATATAAGTGTTAGTAATGTTTAATCATGTCAGCAAATGAAGCATTATGTATAATTATCAGGAGCTAGGAAATGTTTTCAGAATACAAGCCAAGCAAACAAGCAGATTTTTGTCCTATTCTTTCACAAAAGAAACTCTAAGCTTTATTAATAAATCGTGTTAGCTTTTCTAAATTGCTAATAAAAAGCCGTCTCATTCAGCAGAAGCATTAAAAGTAACAAGAAAATTCTTCAAATAGATTTAAGAATAAATTAAATTGGAATTTTATTTGTTTTCAGTGGGCGGAAAATCTGCATTTTGCTTAACCTGGTGTCTGATAATTTCTACTAAATATGCATTTTTACTGACTTTGAAGCTTTATAAGCTCTGCGATCACGTTAAGATATAAAATGATGGGTGATTAATGATAGATACTAGTTTACTACACACATTTCAAACTGTGAAATCATTTATACATTAATTTTGTTACAGCCAAGAAAAACTAAGAAATTCCAATATTTCTTCAGTTTTATCACATTACTTGTAAAATCCATGAAAAATATATATACTAAAATGTCTTTTATAAAGTACTAATAAAATGAATGAATATAGCTTCTTTTTCTGGGCTCAGACTAACCAGTGCTAATTAACTTGGTTAACCATTTAGAACCAATGCTAGAGGTCTAATCTTCTGGAGCTTGGTTAACCAGTTATTTGCTAATCTCACAAAACTAGTCAACATGTACCAAACTATCCAGTCACTTTCAACCATATGTTGTCATGTACTATATAATAATATTCAAATGAAAAAGTACATTGCTATTTCTTGACAGGTGTTTCTGTAATACATCTACATTCCAGGATAGTCTGTAAGTAACTAAGTTTTCACTGTATCCATCAATATTTCTACAAATCCCAAAATATTGATGATTTCACAGTTTGAAAGCGCTAGATTTGAATGAGAAATGGGATCCTGGACTTAGAGGTCATTGGTATACTTGGGGCTGTATGGGTGTGACAGAGGGGGATCGAGGAAACACACACTGCAACTTTAAAACCAAAGAAAAATAGAAATGTGTCATCATGCCACGGATGCCCCCGCATGCAGCCAAAATTTCAGATGGTGCATTAATTTTTTTTTTTCATTTTAAGTTCAAAGCCCTTAAAACTTTTCAATGTTAACACAAACCATTTCCATACAACGTTCAAGGCACTGAAATTATTCAGTCTTAACCTTTAGAAAAAGCATATTGCATATTTGTAGCCAAAATAATGGCTAAAAGAATGAGTGCTGAAACTGAAAGTTCAAAATTTTTCCAACATTCAGGAAAGATAAGTTTGTCTAAAATCATTGAACCATGACCAAATTCAAACTTAAACTGCTTATTCCTAAGATGTATCTATATTATTTTCAAAGTGAAAGGGACATAACTCTGCCAAAAAAACATCAAACCCTGACCAAATTCCAACTTGACCTGCCCATTCCTTTGACATATCCATATGTCAAATTAAAATTTAAAATGTAACACTGTTAGGTAGATAATGAACAGAAACTGTAAATTTCATATTATTTTCAAAGTGAAAGGGGCATAACTCTGCCAAAAATCATTGAACCATGACCAAATTCAAACTTAAACTGCTTATTCCTAAGATGTATCTATATTATTTTCAAAGTGAAAGGGACATAACTCTGCCAAAAAAACATCAAACCCTGACCAAATTCCAACTTGACCTGCCCATTCCTTTGACATATCCATATGTCAAATTAAAATTTAAAATGTAACACTGTTAGGTAGATAATGAACAGAAACTGTAAATTTCATATTATTTTCAAAGTGAAAGGGGCATTACTCTGCCAAAAATCATTGAACCATGACCAAACTCGAACTTGGCCTGGGCATTCCAGAAACATATCCATATGTCAAATTTGAGTTGAATGTGTTGTACCATTGGGGAGATAATAAACGGAAACTGAAAATTTCATATTACTTTCAAAGTGAAAGGGGCATAACTCTGCCAAAAATAATTGAACCATGACCAAATTTGAACTTGACCTGCGCATTCCATTGACGCATCCATATGTCACGTTTGAGTTGAATGTGTTGTACCTTGAGGGAGATAATGAACGGAAACTGAAAATTTCATATTATTTTCAAAGTAAAAGGGGCATAACTCTGCCAAAAATCATCGAACCACGACCAAATTTGAACTTGACCTGCGCATTCCTTTGACGCATCAATATGTCAAGTTTGAGTTGATTGTGTTGTACCCTTGGGGAGATAATGAACGGAAACTGAAAATTTCATATTATTTTCAAAGTAAAAGGGGCATAACTCTGCCAAAAATCATCGAACCATAACCAAATTCGAACTTGACCTGTATTTTCTCATAACATATCCATATGTCAAGTTTGAGTTGAATGTGTCCAACCGTTCTTGAGATAATGAACGGAAACTGAAATTTCATATTATTTTCAAAGTAAAAGGGGCATAACTCTGCCAAAAATCATCGAACCATGACCAAATTCGAACTTGACCTGTATTTTCTCATGACATATCCATATGTCAAATTTGAGTTGAATGTGCCCAACCGTTCTTAAGATAATGAACGGAAACTGATGATGACGGAATGACAGAATGACGGAAGGACGGAAGGACGGAAGGATGGAAGGACGGAAGGACGGAAGGACGGAATGACGGAACAGGGTAACACTATATGCCCCGGCCATTACATGGCGGGGGCATAAAAAGAACACTACCATGGACAAGAAAAAGTTAAGTACAAAACAGTTGTAAATGATATCAAACTGAAAAAGAAATACAACAATTTTGCACTTAACCAATGTTATATATGTGAAGATATTCTTTAATACAACTTAATAATAAAACCCTTTTTATGGCAATTAAACTGGCAATAACTCAGCAAAATAAGCATTCCCCCGTTAGAAATTCCATAAAAACTAAGCAGAGAAGATTTGCATTGCATGTATGTATATACATATTAAGCAGAGACACTGTATATGCAACACTGCAAATATATTTCATAAATTTTGAAAGCCTATCCGTAACATAAAGCATAAGCAGATTTTAGCAAAGCCATAATAAAAGCATCCCTTTACTTGACATTAGTCCTACTTGTTTATGCTTAATTTATCTATGAAAAGCTTTCAAAAAAACTAGAAACAAATTGATAAATGACTGTCAGATATATATATATATGTCCCACTTATTAAAATGCTTGGATAATTTACAAAATTCTTTACATTTTTTGTACAAACAAAAAAAAAATAAACAAGACAAACAGATTTTTTAACAGAACATAAGGGGGGGAAAATCAAGAAAAATCTGAAATGTACAAAAAAATTGAGCAACAGAGAATTATTTCTATTCATTAGATAAATTGCTGGTACAATATTTCTAACATATTCGTGAAAGAGGATAGGCTCTTATGTGAAATATAACGGGAAACAAAATAGTCTTACATAGCAAAATACAGAACTTAAAGAGTGATATCCCATACACAACAGTGGATAGAAAATAGGAAAAAAATAACATATCTTAGGAAAAAATGACTTAATAATAAATAAAGTTTTCATAGAAAGACATGTAACTAATACATAAAACAAAAGGTCGTGAAGAAATAGAGATACACTTAGTCTCAAATTAAAACACTTGTGATTAAGTTAAACATAAAAAAGTAAAACAAAAAGAGAAAAAATTAAACAGAAAAAGGAAGTTCATTGATCAGGTATCTGTTAATTATTTCAATGCTAGAAATTAATGCAGGTAGTCATGGACTCGGAAGGGGAAACAAAACTGTAAATTCTTTCAATGGGGACAATTTATGTGGGTAGTTTTAGAATCGGGAACAAAATTGATCCAGAGTAGAACAGGGACATTAAACAGTTGACTTGAAGGATTCTTTTAATGTTTCAACATTACAAAATCACAAACACAGACGAGTCCTTACACAGAATGTTACTATGCAGCCTTTACCTCGGACCAGGATTAGGGTGAAGTGACTTCTTTTGATTATACCAATCATAATGGTTCTAAGACAGTAACAAAAATTAGCTGAACCACCTTGACATATATAAAATTCAATTCCTCTCAGAAGTTTATTTGAGCCGCATCATGACAAAACCAACATAATGGGTTTGTGACCAGCATGGATCCAGACCAGCCTGCGCATCCGCAGTCTGATCAGGATCCATGCTGTTTGCTTACCAACTTTATTACAAGCAGAGAAACTGATAGCGAACAGCATGGATTCTGATCAGACTGTGCAGATGCGCAGGCTGGTCTGGATCCATGCTGGTCGCAAACCCACTATGTTGGTTTTGTCGTGACGGGGCTCATTTATTTAATATTGTGGGACTAGACCCAGTTTTTATTAACGCTGCCACAGTTTACAAGAGTTGTCCTATATAATAGGAGGATCACATTTAAGGCCATTTTTTCACAACTCTGGCAAAAATGTCAAATTTTTAGACTATTTTAAAAGTCAATATCTCTATCATGTCTACCCTCTTTATGTAATTTTATCACAGCCAATCACCAATAAGCCCAGGGTATTAATGAATAAATGTATCTGATAGTCTTATATTGAGCCTACTACATGTTTTGTCAATGTTAGTGGTATGAGTTCGTACCTCCAACCTGTCCAGACGTCGGCACCGGTGACGGGGAGTTGTGGCCGGACATTGACGACATACGACCTTGTTCCTTCACTATAGGATCTGTTAAATTACAAAAATATTTTTATCTTTAAATAAACAACTTATCTTAGAGGTCTAAGAAATACAGCTCTAGAACTAGAGACATATCAAGCTTTAATTACTCCAGATTTAATTACGAGATTTTTATTTAAATTTCTATTTTAAGTAGTAAAAGCAGAATCTTGGTCACAGGTTTAAAGTGACATCATGCTCACTTTTTCACTGTCAAGCTGGAATAGATTAAAGACGTATTTCAATATAACGCTAATCATAATGGCAACTGAACAATAATTGATAATGACAAATGTTCAGAATAAAATACAAGAACTTCCTAGAATATAAAACGACTGCTCCTCTCTTTTTATAAATTGAACATTATCAATGAAATCCAATATATTAATAGATATCTATGTATGTCACAGGGGAAATATACTATTCTGGTTATGTTTATTACGAAATTAGAAACCTAAAAATGTCAAAATGTAAATTTATTTTTTAAATTTGACCTGAATTCCAACCATTTACTCTTGGATGTTGGAAAGTAACAAATAAATTATATATAAAATTGTATTTACAGAAATATGGGTGTTCCATTGCTTCACGAGCAGTGAGTCTCTCCTGATGATCGTAACGTAACAGTTTATCAAGATAGTCTAATGCTTCTGGACTAACTAGATGTTGATTTTCACTGTGTACAAATCGTTCCCAGCGTTTTCGTGAATGTCTGCAAGCATGGAATATTCACATAGATAAAACTTGACATGTATTTAATCAATCACTCACTATATGCAGTTGCCAAAAGATCCGAGTTAATATATTTACTGCTTTTTATTTCTATGTATTCCAAATAAGTGTTCAAATATCAGGGCCACTATATATTTGTAGTCAGTATACTCAAATTGACTGTTAACAAGTATTTACAAAAGGTATATCAAAATATATCAACAACAGTTTAGTCATAACATAACTAGCATCCCTGGATGCAATAACAGTCCCATTTCACGTGCAATTTACAGGTAAACAGGTAATTTTTCTATGTAAATAATATTTAACAATCTTAACAAGACATATTTTCAATTCAACTGCACACATAAGTTTAAGATATCAGTTCAGAAACCTTCAGTGTGTATACCTGATCCATTCTATGAAACACATATTGTGTAAACAAACAAATAAACATCATAAAATTATAGAAGCATACTATTACTACATACAATGCTATCAATCTATGGAGCATAAATGTTGCTTTTTACACGTAGAAGATGCAATAACTACAATGTTTTTTGCTCTGCAATAACTGTAACATCCGCGCAGTCTGATCAGGATCCATGCTGTTCCCTTACAAAACCCTATAACAAGTAGAGACACTGACAGCGAACAGTATGGATCCTGATCAGACTGGATGCGCAGGCTGGTCTGGATCCATGCTGGTCACAAACGCATTACGTTGGTTTTGTCATGACGCGGCTCATATATATTTTCTAAATACCCTTACCCGTATTTGAAGCAGCATAAAACATTTATAAATAAATCAAATACCAGTATGTTGTTTTCATCACATGACATCAAGCAATATACATTACCTTCCTAGTATATCATTAAACCTAGGATCAAGGTCTATTTGATATTTTTCTATGTATGCATAAAGATCATCTGTTCCTAGAACCTTTGCTATTCTCACCAACTGTAAAACAAAACAAGTAGTTGTTAAACATACCAAAACTGTCTAACTATAAAATATTTATTTCATTCTATTTTTAAATATAGTTCACACCTACATATTTAGCTCCAGTTGTCAATTTTTCAGCTTTGAACCTGTCCGAGTTTGCTTTATCTATTGTAATAAATGGTATAATAAACCAACAAACAACCCTCTCAGGCTCTGTAAACTAGCTTGACTGCATACTTAATTACATTCAGACTGAAACTAGTCATCAAGCAAAGCTCAAGCGGACAATTGGTTTAAAGCAAGCAAAATTCTATTATATTGTCACAAAGGCTTAAACTTACACCTAAATGTTTCCTATCTTTAGAAATAAATTTGAGGGAAAATAGTTAAGAAATTCCTGTCCATAGTCTGCATTAACACTCCCAATGTAATTCTTTAACCAGGTAAAAGCACCTGACCTGTGATTTAACATATCTTGAGTGATGTACACCTTCTATAGCAAAACGAAAAACATTCAAAATCTACAACCAAAACCCATTCGGCATGGGATACATCATAAAGTAAAGTAAGGTAGAAAATTTCGGCAGATATATTTACCTGGTCATAATTATCATGCCCATGAAAGAATGGTTCCTTTCGGAAGATCATACTAGCAAACATACAACCTAGACTCCACATGTCCAACGAGTAATCGTACATCTGAAATATACAAACATACAATTTAAACCACACATGTCACTGCTTAACACTGTAAGGTCCATAAATGCATTTAGAATTAAGTTTATTGTCAGTTTGGTTGATTGCTTGTTTGGTTTTCAACACATTTTTGGTCAGATTTTAGCCAGTCCTTCCACCGAACAGACTTTCCTCGATAACTCACCAGTAATTACCAAATTCTCCACGAGTGACTAAATAGTAGTAAGTTAACACATGACTTCTGAATCAGCAATGACAGACAAATTCGATGATGACCAGACGAAAAATCAAACCCCCACCAACAACAACAACAATGAAAAAAACCTGAAATCTAGAAGTAGTTCGGCCTTTTGAAGTCCCAATGCTCCCTTACATTTTTTCCCATTCTGGTTGGTAAAATTTTGCCAAACCCCCCAACTATAAAAGAGCGTTAAAAAAAGAATATACACATCTAATTTACCAAAGAACTAAGTAAACATGCAAGAATAATGGACATTTCCATTATTCTTTAAAAACTTTTTTCTTTAATCTAATCAGTATATCTATATTCAGTAACCATCAAATTACCAACATAAACAACTTATATCAAAGGTGAGGAAATATGGCTATACAAGACAATTAAGACCCGTCATTTTGTTAAAATCATAATAAATTCTCTGCCTTTGCAACAACAAAAAATCTATGATATACATACATATAAAAAAGTCTCGCAATTAAGCTATGTTGGTTAACTACATTTATCAAAGATAATCAATTATTCTGCATCAGTCTGTACAGCGTTTTACAATCAATCATAAAGACAAAACTACCAAATTGAATTACATATATAAAATGTGTTAGGACACCTACCTTTCTATTTTCATGGTCTATCATAACATTGTGAGGTTTTACATCTCGATGCATTATTCCCATACTATGACAGTAGTCCAATGCCTGTAACAAAATATCAAGTATTTTAAATAAACATTACATTTATCTTTCAAAAAAAAAAATCTGAAATATTCATCATTAAGTTCCATAATCTTTAAGACAGAGACTGCAAAACGTTAACAGTGGAAGTCACATTATAACCATAGCAAAAGAAGGATAATTATTACATTTTGGAAGTCAAAAGCAAAATACAAGGAGTAATTGACTCCCAAACTTCCACTTACAGAAGATATGAAAAGACTTGATTCTTGCTCAAAATTTTAATTATATGGTGAAACCAAAGGTAATTAAATTAGACTTTGCCAGCTGATGCAGTCTGACTAGGCTCTGTAGTGTTGGTTGACTTACTTTCAGTTTTCAATTTGATGTCCCTAACACAGTTATTAACAGTTCCTAAGATGGAAGTGGACAACTAAATTAAAGAAATTTTTAAATTTTTAAAAAAGGGTTTAAAATTATTTTTAAAAATCAAAAGGGGGAAAAGGAGCTAAAAAGGTACAAAAACCTTGTCAGACTAAAAGGAAATTTTCAATTTATCCAGTAAAGGGATGGACTAATTTTTTTGGGTGAAGAGGGGACATGCCATATTTTATATCCTAAATTTAGTAACAGTTTTGGACATACATGAAAAAAACCCCAAATGGGGCTGGTCAATATCCCCGGAAAATCGGAAATTTATCGTTTTTTCCTTTTTTTCCAATAGGGTTTTGGAAAAAATCTTTTTTTTAGCTATAACCGATACAAAGGGAGACAACCTAATATGTGTAACTTATAAACATGATGGCTTTACATTAAAACTATCGTCTTTAAAATGTCCGCACAAAAGTCAAAAGTGTGGAATTTTCTCTAAAGTAAATGTTAAAAAGGCCCTCAGCAATATTTGAAAGGCTGCATTGATTAGTTCAAGTGGAACAACGAATGTGTCAATACACAAAATGACGGATAAATCTGTGAAAAAATTTATACGGCCATTCAATCTCCCATTTCTAACACTGGTAAAAAATACTTTCAGGTCGGCAGTAATTTGTATTAGACCAAACATTTACTTGAAATTTTTTAAACAAATATTGTGAAAACATAAATCCTACAAATTTATTGATTTTCCAAGATGTAGTTTGCTAACTAAATAAATGTGACTGTGCGAAGACGTAGCTAAACACCGTTTCCCGGTACATTAGGAATTACGACACCACAACATCATATCATGATATTTATATTTTTATTGTAATTTTACCATTTAAGATAGAAAAAATTTGATTTTATTATAAAGATCTTATAATTTAGAACAGTTGACTTGCAGACAGTACTAGACTTCTGTCATAATAAATAGTGATGTTTTAATTATTTTCTGCGTTAACTTTTCCTAGTATTTACATAATTATATTTTTGCATTGAATTATTTCTCTACAAAGCTTTTTATTTTTTTTTCAAAATGATTGTTTTATCTAAACAAGAGCTGTCACAGGAGACAGCGAAGCTCGACTAATAAAATACTGGACGCAGTAAGGAGGACAAAATACGAAAGAAAAATCAATTATGTATAATTATGTATTAAGTTATAGTAAAAAAATAACATTTGTTAACATAAATTCCAAGATCAAGGGGAATAATTCTTGAAATAGTCATGCTAGAGTTATGGACCTTGTCACACAACATTTGTGTAATGATAAGAAATATATATTTGAAGTTTGAAGTAGACACCTTAAAAAGTAAAGAAGTTATTATATTTCTTAAAGAAATCCTAAGTTCAAAGAGAGAAAAATCTGTAAATATTGCTTCAAGAGTTATGAACATTGTCACATAAAATGTAATTGATGATAAGGAATAAGTATTTGAAGTTTGAGGTAGATACCTTTAAAAATAAAAAAGTTATAATAAAAAAATAACATTTTTCTAGTAAAAAAATCTAAGTTTATGGGGAGATAATTCTTGCAATATTGGTGCTAGAGTTATGAACCTTGTAACATAAGATGTGGATGATGATAACGTAAATATATTTGAAGTATGAAGTTGATCCCTTTAGAAATAAATAAGTAACAGTAAAAAATAATATTTTTTATGGAAAATTCTAAGTTCAAAAGGGAGATAAATCTGAAAATATTGGTGCTAAGAGTTATGAACCTTGTCACATAGGATGGGGATGATGATAACGTAATATATTTGAAGTATGAGGTTGATCCCTTAAGAAATAAAGAAGAAACAGTAAGAAATAGCATTTTTTTGAGGAAAATTCTAAGTTCAAGGGGAGATAAATCTGAAAAATATTGGTGCTAGAGTTATGAACCTTGTCACATAAGATGGGGATGATAATAAGGTACATATATTTGAAGTATGAGGTTGATCCCTTAAGAAATAAAGAAGTAACAGTAAAAAATAGTATTTTTTAAGGAAAATTCTAAGTTCAAGGGGAGATAAATCTAAAAATATTGGTGCTAGAGTTATGAACCTTGTCACATAAGATGTGGTTGATGATAAGGAACATATATTTGAAGTTTGAAGTTGATACCTTAAGAAATGACAAAGTTATAGTGAAAAATATTTTACTGCACCAAAACTTTAATCTAAAATCTGGACGCGGACGCCGACGCCGGGGCGAGTAGGACAGCTCTCCATATACTTCGTATAGTCGAGCTAAAAAGGGACCATCATGTCATTTTCAAAATATTATCTCAAATGTTCTAATTAAGGTACCTATGCACCTGCTCTGTATTATATATCATTATTAACAAAGTCAAAATCTAAAACAGATATAAGAAAGATTCAACAATATTTCACCAGGGCATCAATGAAATGTAAATAGTACTTTTAATAAGTACATCCTAACAATGAAGCATCATTGTACTGTATCGTCAATACGTTTTGTGTATCGTTGGTCTGTATCGCAATACGTATCGTATCGGAAATTTCTGATCAATGCCCAGCCCTACAACCCAACCCTCTATACCATGAGGCCCCTATATATCCCAACTTAAAAGAAAATAATTCATTACTCACCTTTAAGAGTTCATAAAGATAAAATCTGATATCATAATCTGTAAAGGTCTGGTACAATTGCTGCAAAAGATAAAACAAAAAACATATGAATTCAAAAAAAAAAAAAAAAAAAACAATATTAACAATAAAAATTAATGAGAAATATTGGATATTAACAAAATTATTTTTTATGAAAATATTGGAATAAACCATGTGTCCAACCTTATCCTTACAGACAAAGTTCAAAATAGCTGTTAATTTTTATATTATACTGCCAATGGTTATTAAATACTCTTTCTTATATCAGTTTTATTGAACAATTGATCACACCAATCATTAGTCTCGCAAATTGTCTTCTGCTAAGTTTATACAAAGTTATTTTAGTTAGTAAGGAAGCTTTAAACTTATTAAAACATTGTCAAATCCATTCATGGAACCACCCAGTACTAAGTAATGAGTGTAAAGTTTCCTGTCAGCTTGCTCCTGACAGGATTGAACCCACGCAACTAGCAATCCTTAGATTAAAAGTCTTGATGTGTTAACCACTATGCAATGCTACCACGCTACTTGTTGTATCAATATGAATTAAGTAATCAACAAAACTTATTTTATCAATGTTATTATGCCATACCTTAAAATCTGTGTTGTTTATATGTTCAAACACTAAAGCTGGTGTTCTTGACTGAAATGATAAAAATATATTATCATAAACTGTAATTATATCAATGCTTGTTTCAATATTATGAGAATAGTGGCAGGGCAAAAAGGGAAAACAGGGAATGGTGGCAAGGCAAAAAGGGGAAAGCTAGTGACAGATAAAACAGTTCATTTTATGTTAAATGTAATGCAATACCACTATCTTTTCAAACTACAATGAATCTCTCTGTCCCAATTGTGATCAAATAGATTTCAAAATGAAAGTTGCATTTTTTTTTTTACTTTTGGAGGGGAATTTTTTTCAGAAATAAGGGGAAAATATACACTTTTTGGAGAGGGGAATTGTATGGAATTTGGGCCCTTGTTGGTCCTAAAAAAGCACTGTATAACAATATCATAACAAATTCCTGTAAATGCAAAACAATCTTGTTCAATAAACATTTGTCATCAGTATTATTTTACTAATAACAACTGAAAACATCCAATCCCCATATATTACTAATCTATTGAGCTAAGCAGGGCGGGCTTCATTCTATCTAAACATAATTACACAAACTTAATACTTTAGCCTATCATTATCAATATTTATAATTTACCAACTAACTTTTCAGTATCAAATCAAGTAAACACATTTTGTATAACTCACCACAGGATCTTTGACTATTGCTAACAATGCTATAACATTTGTTCCACCTCGTAGATTCTCTAATATTTTAATCTCTCTTTTGATCTTCTTTTTCTTTACAGGCTGGAAAGGAATATAAAGATAAATTGTAAATTGGCCAAGAATAGTATTCAAGTATCATTGTAGACACTGTAGACAGAATACAAAGAAAATAAATTTGGAAAAAAATATGTTTTCCTTCTTATCAACCAATATTGACATATCAGAATTGCACTCTTCTAAACTTTTGTAACATCAAAATATAATCAACAATTTTCTCACTAGTAGGAGTGTTATTTTATGCTAGTATTCAAATAATTTTACAACTTCATAGATGATGTAACTAATATTTCATAATCTGCAGATAAATAAGGCAAACTTATAATAATACTGATTAAAATAATTTTAAGTGTTCCAAGATTTAAGCAGCAAATATATCGCAAGCCACAGTTTAAATTTATCAGGAATATAAATACCACAGCCTTTAAAAAACTTAAATCTGTATTTCTATTGAACTGTTATTTACATTTTTCAGTTAGTTTGTCTTTTACATTGAAAAGTACTGCAAACTATAAGATTTGTATGTGTAGGTAATTTTTGAAATAGATTATTTAACTGCACAACATTATGAAGTCAATTATTTTATTATTTTTTTTGTGGCGTTTTAAGTTTGCACGCAAACAATCATAAGTTACTTTTATCTGTGAATTTGATAATTTTCAATCAATAGAAGATTAAACAATATTTACACAAGACTTACTTTGAGAATTTTGATGACACATTTTTCATTATTTGTAACATTGATTGCCTCAAACACCTCACTGTACTTTCCTCGACCTAACTTCCTTACTATCTGGTAATCATCTTGTTGACTGAAATAGAGAAGTGTTATATTTTACTTACAACTTGTTTCAGAAAAAAAGAGACAGAGCTTCATGCTTATCAACAATTATGCCTCTTTTGTCTTCAGCCAACATGAGCAACAGTTGTTTAGTTTTTCTTGTAATAAAGCTGAATTTAACATATTTTGGTTGATCCACAAAACCAGCTTTCCTAGATTATAGATAACTGACTGATAGTTACCTCTTTGTCTGCAAAAGACCAACTACTAATCCTACATTATTTCTTAAATCCAAATCACATTAAAATGTAGGTCTCAGTTTTCCAAACTAAGGAATAAAAATTATTTTAAATACCCCAAATGAAAAGACCCAGTGCTAATATATGAGAACAATCAGCAAGTTTAAGAAATATCAAAAATTTGTGACACTAAATTTTCTTACCGAGTGGCTTATATTTGATTGGGTCTGCTGAGAATGGAAAGGAAATTAAATTAATTATGAGTTTTGGCAGCGACTATCTTATATACAGTGCCAAAATCTAATTTACTTGTGGGTAGAGATTTTAGACAGTAACCCAACATGCTTATCTCAAAGTCACAAGTGTGTGCTACTCTATGGCTAAAATAGCCTATAATTAAGACTTCTAGATGCAATCTGTAATATGGTCAACCTTTGTCAACACATATTTAAAGTCAGACACTTGGAGTATAGACTCCGCCCTTCTCCGCCCCTGAATATAAAAAACTAAAAGTATTATCTATTACAAGAATTAGTTTTTAATTTTTGATTATATTAGTATGAAACGGTTAAGTGTCTAACACGTGAACAAGTTTGAAAAGAATTTCATAAAGTTTTAACGGTTCAATTTTCTGAAGATACCAAGCTTCAAGTAAACACAACTGACCTACATATATTCAGTGTTCCCACTTCTATTTTTCATTTGGGGTAGTTTTACCCCTTACCTTTGAAAACTGGGGGTAAAATAAATGCACTTTAAGTAATTTTTGTTTTAGAAATTGCTCAAAACAACTAATTTTTGAATTATACATGATTAACAGAGCTCCAGATAGCGTGCGTATAAGCGTAAAATACGCATAGAAAATCTAAAATACGCATCACTTTCAAAATTCGTGCGTCACAGTTACGCACAACAAAATGAAAATACGCTCGTGTTTCAAAATTTATGCGTGAAAGAATAGAAGTGTAAACATTTGATATGTAGAAAGAAAATGTTTTGAGCATAAAAATACAATATATTTCCATTTTATTGCATTGAAAACTGTCAACAACGCATGTTAAAAACGAAAGTAGCAGGAAATACAGAAGGGAGGTAACTCCCGTAGATCAACCTGTGAAATTATTGATGAAATTTGTACCAGATAATCGTTGTAGGAGTTAACACAGTATTAAGTTTGTTTAGGCATCTATTGACATGCTAATGCCTCAATATAAACAAAAATAATATTTTAATTTCTTTAACTTTTGTTGTTGGAACAAAATAACATGTTTTTCACTTGCAGTTTTGTACTCAATATTTTCGTACCAGTCTACAGTTACGGACAATTTTCTCTCAGACCAATCCTTTTTTAAGGAAAGATAAAAAAATCTTTTTTATGTTTCTTTAATTCTAATTTCAACTATAATTGTTCAAACTGGAGTACATGATAAGGTACATGCCAACAAAAATAAAAAAATAAAAATATTGACTCCTAGAAAATAAAATAATTTCAGGGCTTCCACTAGTGGAAGTTTGGGAGTCATTTACTCCTTCATTTGGCCTGTGACTTCCGAAAATCAATACTTTTCCTTCTTTACCTATATAATGTGACTTCAAATATCAGAGATTTTGAAGTCTTTGACTTCCAAATTTTTGAAAAATGGAAGCCTTGATAATTTTGCTGTTTATCCTAAACTTGAGTTCCAGTATACTCTGGAAATCTGACTTTACATGGCATGTTTTGTATTGTTTCACATTAAATCAGTATTTAATTTGTAAAGGTTTTTCTAAAAAAAGAAAATAAACAAACAAACAAACAAACACAACAATAAGTTTAATTTGTTTATAAAAAATGCAAAATGCTTTTTTTTGACAGATTTTACCCCTTAAGTTTTTCAGAATTTGCATTTTACCCCTCACTCTAAATTTTGAGGGGTAAAAACCCCTTGGTCCAAAAAATTATCTGGAGCTCTGATTAAGTTTACGACTTTCTGTGCGTATTTTTACCCTCTTGCCAAAATTTCTGTAAGTGAATTTTGTTATTTATGCGTAAAATACGCACATATGTGCGTAAATGGGAACACTGATATTTCAAGTATTTATGTTATATCATGCCATTTATTCCTGGTGTAAATCATTCGATGCATATATATTCTCTTAATAAATAAGTGCATGTTATTATCCGATCGTACCTTTCTTCCAAGCTTTGCACATTTAATTACATTTTCCTAACAGTGTCACATGCGTCTTTACGAATTCATGACGACTGGAATGTTTCCTGTAAATTACAGCGGAAAAATCACTGGGAAAAAGAAATTCAATCGCAACTACTCGGCCCTTTACGTCAGTCTTCTTGATTTGGTTTTTACTGATTAGGGGAAGTAACCGCTGCGGGGATTTAATTATTTTGGTTCTCGACATAGATGAAAGCACAAAACAGTGCCGAAACTCATTCCAGTCGTCTCACATCAAAGGAAAGCGTACGTTATTATCTTTATTAAATTATGATCTTTTAGGGACTTTTTTAAACGTTGTTAAAACAGCGGAAAACAAGTTTTATGTTCAAGACATGTGACTAGTCCTAATTATAAGACCTATACGTAACCTTTTTCATATTTATCATTCATTGATCTGATATTTTACATTTTTCATTTTCCATGTTACGTTAGGTCTTAACAGATCTTTGCAAAATCGTGTAGCAAAAAAATTGACATTAGACATCGATTTAGATCTAATGCATTTTAACAATTAAAACAGCGTGTATTTACATAAATTTTGAACTATTTATGAACAAAACTAAAAATTAAATACCTTTCAACAAAATAATTGAACTGTCACACCCGAAAAGTCATGATTTAATCCTCTCATTTAATTAAATTCCATGTACAGCAGATATACAAATGGCCGCCATACAGTGCGCGAAATCTGATTGGCTAATTCAAATGCAAGCGTTTAAATGACTCCAGAAGTTTCTAACGGAATATTTTTTCAACGAAATAATTGCCCATGCACCGTCAGTGTGTTCGAAAATATTTTTCCGTTCAAAAAAATGGAATCAATCTGTAAAACGCTTTACTTAACCAGTATGGCTGATGAGCGAAATAGATTGATATTTATATTTTATTTTTAATTGATAAGTACATTGTTTGAAAGTTTTTGTTAATGATAGACCATGCAATTGAAAGAACAGAAGATAAGCTTTTGAATAAAGCTTGAAAGGCAAGTCAACAGACAGTTTTTTAATTTTTTAAAATGCTACGCGTTTTTGAGCAATAACTATTAGACGTAAAGGCTTGACCAACATAAAACTATAACAAGCCTGTAACGTCTAATCTATTGGACTAAATAATATGGAAAAATATTTTGACGAACAGTTTGCACAATAAAAATAGACATGGTGTATACAACTGCGGATCAAGAAGGGAGCCACGTACATAACCCCAAGTGTCTGTGTTTAATGTCTCACCGACTACAAATATGATAAGCATAATTTATTTCTATTCAACAGGAATAACTGCAATGCTCCCTTACCCCCATTCTACAACATGTGATTCATAGTCCCAATATTCTCTTGGTCTATTTTTGTTCACATCAGCATACACCCTTGCTCTGCTTGGTGCTGGCATTGTCTTGATAGTGTCTTTGCAGAAATTTCTGACAAACGTAAAATATCTCTCAACAGCTTCACACTTTGCCCTCCTGTTTGTTTCAACAGTTAGAAAACTAAATGACTTAGAATTAAGATTACGCAGGAAAAGATTACAGCCTCGTGCAGCCACAGTGAACACGTTTTCCGTGGCTCAGTTCTTTCATGTTTTGTTTCCCCGGCTGCTGAAAGTGACGCTTTTGACCATGTGACTTGACCTATTCTATGATTTGTTTACTGAAATAATTCATTTAATTAACTCAAAAAGATTTTATTTTTATGATTTAACAAGGTATTCGGCCCTTTTGAAATGTAATACACCGGGTTTTTTCGTCTTCTTTAGTCACATCGTTGTAAAAAGTTCCACAAAAATGGCCGACTTTCCGCAGAAATTACAACGAGGCTAATCGATACCGAATTACCTCCCTTAGTGCTTAATATCAAAGGGATAGTTCACACATACTGATAAGGATAGTTCTTTATCATTATAGTTTAAATTGGATTATGTGTATGCAACAGCACAGACGTCTCCATTTATACTAAATAAAGAAAAATGAAAATAAATAAAAAAGGACGTATGTACGATTTGATTTACGGTATGTGCAATTAGATTCAAAAGAGAATATCCACATTTGTATATTATATATACTGTAACTATATGCACTAATCATTATATAATTATTGTGAGTGTTGCTTATTTTCTGTAAGATTTTACTCTAAGCACGTTTCGTTTAGTTTATATATTTTAAAGTATCATCCCAAAAATTAAAAAAAAAATGAGCTTTTGATAAATTGAATTTGAATTAAATGATATACTCTATTTTGACCATCCTGGGAGAGAATATTCTATCCCAGGACCATCTAACAGAGAAAATCGAACATATTTTAGTGTGGCTATTAGCAACAAACAAAACACAATATAAATATAAAAAATTTCAGAATAATGTTTGAATGTCTGCGTCTTTACCTTCATTTTCTGCACCTTTTCTTTTTTCAGACAGTCTGAATAAAATGATCAATTGGGTCTGAAAATGGGTCAAAATGAGTATTTATGTCAGACCAGTAGACCAGACAGAAAAATTTTCAAATAAACTTTGGTAGTAATTAATTGAATATTTGTCATGTTTGGTTTTTAAAAAAATACATGTGCACCCTCTGAATTGATATGCTTCCATAAGCAGTATTTCGTTTGTTTCTATATACAGTTGGAATCCAGCAATATATTCAATTGTTTTAACGTTCAATATTCTGATTCAACTCATTTGAAAACAACAAAAATGACTCTTTTACACTTCTGCAAGGCTGTTATAAGATCTGAATATATAACAATTATCATAATTTATTCTTAAGTTCTATGTTTGAATTTAAATGTTTTTACTTTATTTTCTTCTTGTTTTGCAAATCATAGTACCTTATAAATGATGCTTTGGGGGGATTTAGATTTGCCCTTGTCTGTCTGTCTGTCTGTGCATTATCCTGCTGTGTCGCATGTAGCTCTAAAAGTGTTTGAGCTAGAGTCAACAAGATTTACAGGAATGTTGATCAGCATGTGAAGTTGTACACATGGTGTTTCAACATGTAGATCAATTCAGTTTTGTCAGTGTAATTGCCCTTCACTTAGTAAAAAATTTGCAATTTGCAACTTGTGCCCCAGGTATCCAAAAAAAAAAAATTTAACCTTGAGTCATGCAATTTTTTTCAGAAATGTTGGTCAGCATTTGTAATTGTGCACCTGGGAGTTTCTTGTATTTTGTAGAGAATGTGCCCTTGACAAAAAAAGTTTCAAAATGTTGTGTCAAGTGTACCTCTAAAAGTGCTTGTGCTGGAATCAACACACTTTACAGGAATGTTGATCAGCATGTGAAGCTGTGCACCTTGGTTATTGCATGTGTATTAATTCAGTTTTGAGAGAGTTATTGGACTTGACTTAGTATAGATTTCAATTTTCATATTGTGTGATGCATAGCTAAGAAAGTGTTTAACCTTAATATGTCATAATAGTTCACAGGACTGTCGGTCAGCATGTGTAGTTGTGCAAAATTCAGTATGTCAACATTAGAAAAAATGGAAGTTGTATTTATGCCCCAACCTTAGGGGTAGTGGGAGTCATGTAGAATTTCCTTTTGTGTGTCCCTCTGTCATAATGTCCTGCTGTATGTCAGTAGACAGAAGAATGTTGAGGCACCTGTGTCCTATGGACACATTTCTAGTTTTATCATAATAAAAAAAGCTACCAATGAATCTTAATACTCATTATATTATTATAATATCCTATATTTTAGCAGTACTTTTACCCTTTGTAAAATCATTTTTAGTCTCTTTTTAAAATTATTTTTAGTCTCATGTTTTAAATAAGTGAAAATACAATCACAAATTGAGGTGTGGTCTATGCTATGAAAATCATGCCTATCACTCCTATTTCTCAAGTAATACTACATTTTTTATGCAAATATTTTAGTTTCTTAGTCAAATTTTGGGAAAAGAGCATTATTTTATTGAAAGTGGAAGTATGCAATTGAACATATAATTATGAAGTTGTGTGTGTGTGTTTCTTTTTTTAAAGAAAATGGGGCTTTAAACCAAATTGAAACATGATGATAGACTACTGGAACAGAGTTCTTTTGATACTTTTCTTCTATCTTGTTTCACTGTGCATGATCTCACACATTTTTTTAATTGGGGACTATACACCGCTTTTCGTGGAATGGCACAAACATGTTACATTGAAGGTTCCATGTTTTACTGTGCATAATCCCTTATATGTATTCCCTCATGTTGATCTGCCTTCCATTAATTGTTGTCAGGGAAATATTTGCATGTATGTAGACAATATTTCTCTTGCTGTACCATTTTCATTGTATCAGTATTTATGCAAGCAAATTAAAATTTTGTATTTTAGATTTTTTATAATCTTTTGATAACTTTGACTGGCATACCTTCAATTAATCAGTGTAAACTCTCTAGTAATTAGCAGCATAAACTCCCAAGGTCAGGTCCTGCTGCTGCTTTCATTGGTTGTGTTGTTCTTGTGTCACCCACACAGCACCAAGCACATTTTAAAACAGTATAGTAAATTACTATAAACACTAGAACATTAACAGACAAAGAACACACTGGATATAAATAAAACAAAAACTTTTACATAAAAGATTTTATTTATTTTTAGTAACAAAACTTAAAGGTGGAGTGAATAAGCTAGCATAAACATACATTCTATCAATTAATATAAAATGATTATAATGCACACTGTTATTTCCAAATAATGCACACAGTTATTTCCATACATTTTTTCAATGCAAAACAATAAAACATAGATGTCAATATTTCAGCAAACTATTCCTACTTTAATGTTTGACAACTTACTTATATACCACCAGAGTGCTGGTTGCAGAAATGGTAAACTTATGACAATAATTTTGACTTTTCACAACTCTTGATTTCTTATTCTTGTTTCTCACTTGCTTTTTATAAATTAAAAACCTGCCATGTTTCCAAACGTAGCAAGTAGAGAACAGTCAATTTGAAAATTTCAGAAATATCATGATACAAATAACTATATGGAAACATCTAACTGACTAGTCCTTTCTTTGTTTAGCTATGATAAGTGGTCAAGTGTCAATACTGGTGGCAAAGACTTGCCACTTTTATATCAAGTGTGAAAGTGATAAAGCTACAAAATATCTAAAACCAAACAAAAATATTTAAATAAGAATAAATTCTACATAAAAATATTTCTCCATATATGAAGGTTTATATAAATGGAATTTACATATATGAGGCAAAGTTTAGCTAAATTATGTTTTGTTTTATAATAAAAAATGTTAATAAAACACAGACAACATACCCGGTACATAATATTTGAACAAGCTGTGCTGTATATATAAAAATTAAAATATGCACATCAACAGGACAACAATAACATAAAATTAAGCTTATTTCAAATACTAACCATCTCATACTGTAGCAGTTATATAACAATACATGCACTTATATTTCACTCTCAATTAAAATTCTCAATATCCAAAGGTTTGAGGCTGCTAATTTTAAAACAGTTTTTACCCAAAATTTATTCCTATGGTAACAATTCAAAATTCTACAAACAGTACAACACTCATTACCACTTCATTGCATTGTTTAACATAAAATACATAATTTTATAAAAAAAAATCACTTTTTAATTCTTTAAAAACTGTTTTGTACTAAATTAACATAGATCTTGATATAATTACAAAATTAAAAAAAACAACAACAAAAAACGTTTCATCAAAGCCTAACATATTTAACAAAGAATAATATTTTGTGTTCCTTACTACAATATATCTAGTCCAGGTATTGAAATTGTGGAGATATTTCTATATAAAGGTAGGCAAGTAAGGCTGCTTTTTATTGCAGTTTTCAACAAAAATTGAAATGTATAATAATAACACCCAACAATTTACTATGCAAGAATGTTGAATATCTTAACATTGTTCAAGGAAACATATCACAAAACCTGTCTACATTAAGTTTACTTGCCTGGAATACATAATATCAAAAGTTTAAGATCATAACTATATGTTAAATTTAAACGACTGTCTGTGTAAAGAACTAAGTGCATATTTCAAATAATGTGTTATTCAACAAATAATGAATCAGTAAAGAATCTAAGGAGATCTTTAATAAAGAATGACATATCTGAAGAGGGAGATCATAGAAACTTCTGTAATATTCTGATAATAAACTACCTTTACAAAAGATGCATTGATACACTGATTTTCCTGAATATATATGTACATTTTGTATTAATAACACATATGTAAAAGATCATATACAATTTTTGTATTTTTACTCTGTAGTTTCAACTATCAAGATAAATTATCTTTATAAAAGATGTACTGATACACTGATTTTCCAGCTGGATCTTTTACATATGTGCTATTTATACAAATGTTATGACTCTTAATATGTCTGTAACAGATAGTTCCCAAGCTCCCAACATTTATCTCTCTTGGCAAAACCTACAGTCATTTTGATGGCAAGAAGTAAACTAACAGTTCATAAAATTTGAAAGATAAACAGATAATCCAAGGCCATTTGTTAAATTCCTTTACACATGCTAACAAAACCTGATGTATATCACTTTCAGAAAGCATTTCTTTAGTAAGTTTTGTGAACTGTTTCTGTGTAATTTCTAGTAAATATTCAAAAAATATAAAAATAAAAAAAATAACAACCAAGGGAGATAATGCATGCCAACTGAAAAAAACATCTATGTGCATTGATGTCATTTGTTTTATCTACCATTATCTTGACAAACATTGGATATCAAGTTTATGCCAGCATGTAACACCATGATAACTTTATCTTTCAGATTACCAAGATAAAACAGTGTCACGAAGAATTAAACTGGGATTTTTAATCAAAGCTTCCAAAACTTCCACAGCTGCCGAAACTTCCAAAACTACTGAGTGAACTCCAACTTCCACACCGGCCCATACCAAACCCTCCAAACCCCCCGCCCATCATACGACTTGCTCCATAACCTAGTGCAGCGCCTCCTATCAAACCTGGAATACATGTATGAATAAACGTTAACATCAAAATATGAACATGGCAAAATATTTGTTTCTAATTACACAAATAAATAATTATTTTGTAACCCTGATGAAGACTTGTGAAAGTGGAAACATTGGTAATCATCATTTAATAAATCTTATCTGTGTCGATTGTTTTTTCCACTTGCACCATATTTTTCTAGTAAATAATAATAAGGTCAAAATATGATAAACAAGAGGGCCATGATGGCCCTGAGGTTGCTCACCTGTATATAGGCCCCCCCAACCCCCACCCCCACCCCAAACGTTGCAGGGCCAATTTAACCAAAGGGCTTTTATTTGCACAAACTTGGTAGACATCAATAAGAAGATGTTTCATGCTAAACATCTAAGCTCTAGCTCATTGGGCTATTTAAAAGAGGATTTTTTTTAAAGTTTTTACTATACACATATAGTTAAAAACAATGACACCCCTGGGGCCAGGCCAGTTATGACCCCAGGGTTTTTATTTGAACAAACTTTGTAGACACTTACTAGAATATGTTTCATGCTTAATATCTAAACTCTAGCTATTTGGTTTTTTTCAAAGAAGATTTTAAGTTTTTGCTAAACACATATAAGGAAAATCAATGACCCCGGGGCGGGGCCAATTTTGACCCCAGGTCTTTTATTTGAACAAACTTTGTAGAAACTCACTAAAAGATGTTTCATGCTTAATATCTTAACTCTAGCTATTTGGGTTTTTTCAAAAAAGATTTTTTAAGTTTTTGCTATACACATATAAGGAAAATCAATGACCCCCGGGGCGGGGCCAATTTTGACCCCAGGGCTTTTATTTGAACAAACTTGGTAGACACCTATTAGAACATGTTTGATGCTAAATATCTTAACCATAGCTCTTTGAGTTATTTAAAAGAAGATTTTTTAAGTTTTTACTATATGCATATATAGGGAAAATCAATGACCCCCCGGGGCGGGGTCAATTTTGACCCATAGGCTTTTATTTGAACAAACTTGGTAGACACTTATTAGAACATGTTTCATGCTAAATATCTTAGCTCTGACTCCTTTGGTTCTTTAAAAGAAGATTTTTTAAGTTTTTACTATATGCATATAGGGAAAATCAATGACCCCCTGGGGCTAGGCCAATTTTGACCCCAGGGCTTTTCTTTGAACAAACTTGGTAGACACTCACTAGAAGATGTTTCATGCCAAATATCTAAGCTCTAGCTCTTATGGTTTTTTAAAAGAAGATATTTAAAGTTATTTCTTTCGGTTGCCATGGCAACCAGAGTTCTGCATGGAATTAAATTCTTTGAACAATTTTTAAAGGTGACCACCAAAGGAACATTCCTGTGAAGTTTGGATGAAATTGGCCTTGTGGTTTATGAGTAGATGACATTAAAAGTAAAAGTTTACGGACGACGGACGGACGCCGGACGAAAAGCAATCACAAAAGCTCACCCTGTCACTTTGTGACAGGTGAGCTAAAAAGATCAACAAGGAAGGCGGCGTTCAATGAACGCAACGCCGAACAATCCCTTGAGGATGAAAATACAACAACATTGATGGGGAGACTTTTTACAGCCGCCACACGGAACAAACAACACGGTTGTGAGCATAAAATATTTTAATATTCATGTTATTTCTACTACCAAACTTATCAAAAATTAACCTTCTTAATTTGATGTATGACTTGTATTAATGTATATAAGGGGAAATAATGACAACTTGCTAGTACTCTTAGGCACTTTCACATTAACATACTTAACATATATTTGATATAAAACATAACTAATGTTTGATATACAACAATCGTGGTCAAGGAAAAGAGTGGTATGTTTCAATCAAACTATTGTCTTGCTCAGTTTATTTTACATGACAAATAAGCTGACAATTCGGTTTTGTAAGTTGTCTTACCTGCTGCCATTTTTCCTGTGTTGCCACCAGGAAATCCTCCTTTCTTTTTATGATGATCTTGTACATAAACAACTTGTTGGCCAGGCTGCTGAGCGTAACCATGTGGTGGCTGCTGGTACCCATATGCTAAAAATAGACATAATCATGTCATTTATTCATGGTTTCCAAATGCTAAAAAAAGACATAATCAAGTCTACACGGTTTCCAAATGCTAAAAAAAATACATAATCATGTCTACATGGTTTCCAAATGCTAAAAATAGACATAATCATGTCATTTGTTCATGGTTTCCAAATGCTAAAAATAGACATAATCATGACATTTATACATGGTTTCCAAATGCTAAAAATAGACATAATCATGTCAATTGTTCATAGTTTCCAAATGCTAAAAATAGACATAATCATGTCTACATGGTTTCCAAATGCTAAAAATAGACATAATCATGTCATTTGTTCATGGTTTCCAAATGCTAAAAATAGACATAATCCTGTCATTTGTTTATACATGGTTTTCAAATGCTTAAAAATAGACATAATCATGCTATTGACATACATGTAATTCCAAAATGAAAAACAGACATAATTATGACATCTACACCGTTTTAACAAGATAAAAATAGACATACTTGTGTCATTTAGATAGTTCATATTATTATGCTTATAACAAATACAATGAAAAGGTTGTCTTTGCCCAAATACATTTTCTTAATTGAAAAATGTCAAGTCAGAAGGCATGATTTAATCCTAATAATAATTTGTGGACAGATAGCTCCCCTTGAAAAGGATGCCAGGATACATAAAATCTGATTAAATCAGCTATAATATACTCTTTTAGGTAGACTAATGTGTTAATCCAGCTAAGAGAACATTTATACTTTGCCTTTGGCGCAACTATGCTGTTATACATGTATAAATATGACATTTTATTATTTTAAACAATTATCAGGAAGAAGGCTTACGCTGTTGTCCTCCATAATACTGTTGTTGTGGGTAGCCTACAGGTTGTGTTGGGTACGGCTGTTGTTGGGGGTATGGTTGTTGGTAAGGCTGTTGTGGATATCCTGGTGCTGGGGCAGGGTAGCCTGGTTGTTGAGGATACCCAGGTTGCTGGGGGTAACCACCTGGCTGGGGATATGGGGCCTGATACCCAGCTGGAGGAGGAGCTGTCAAACAAAAAGTAGAAATATTAAATTTGAGTTATTTTTTAAAAAGAAATGTGACAAAATTCATTTTCATATCTACACATTATCTAAAAATTTGACACTAATCAAACCTTCTGTGGTGGAAGAAGACCAGGGTGCATCACCCTTCATTTTTTAAGCAAAAGCATACAACTGAGAAGAGCAACCCATTTTTTAATATTCTTGATAAGACAGCTGTCTTAAAGCACATGTTTTAAGAAAGTTTTTGACCCTTTCCTGACTTAAACAAACTCAGAGATAAATAAATTGCAATTATCTACAGTTAACAAGTCTCTTAATTAATAATAAACTTGTGCTTGAAAATTTTTTTAAACGTAACAATATTCTAAAACGAATGCTTATTTAACATACCACCCATATTTGCAAATCCTACAGGTTGTGGCATGGGTGGCCCGCCATATGAAGGACCCGCACTGTAAGGAGGAGGCTGGCTACTCACTGACTGGGTATGTTGTGCCTGTATGGGAGCTTCCCCACCTGATGGAGCATGACTACTCTGAGGTCTAGGCGGTAACTGAAGAAAAATATCAATTCTGTTAGCACAAATAATAGGTAAACTTAATACATAGACCATCAAACTAATCAAACTACTGATTTTTTATATATACATAATCCTGAAAGTATTTTACAAAACATGTTCATTACATCTAAAATAAACATTTGAACTAAATAATAAAATTAAAATATAAATAGTAGATAATGATATTAGTTTTTTTTTCTAACTTAAGTAGCTAGTCATAATAATGTATAATAAACATAAAACATACAGTTTTACATCATGATTATCTATGTCATGTGCTGTTTTGATTTGAATTACATATTGTTACCATAGTAACAGTGTTATTAACTGAGAATACTTACAGTGGAACATATTGCTGTCATCCATTCACTGAAAATCATAAGAAAGTTAGTTTTAATTTTCAGTATATATATGAAGATGTTTTACTTTACTTTTGATCAACAAACCCTGCTTTTCCAAAAAATTATTGATGTTCAAAAATAAAATTGGAAATTCTCAACAGTTTTATTCATAAAGAGTTTGGCTGCAAAAAAATCAATGGAATACAACAAACATTTTTATTCATTCATTATTTACACAATTTAAATTCTGCAATGGATCTACCCTCCTTTTAATCAATAATCATTTAACCTATTAAAAAAATCATCAAAGAACGAGAGTTAATATAAAATAAATTTTACTTTAGTTTAGTCTAATTCATTGTTTGATTGTGTTGGAAGTTTATTGATTAAATCTGTTCCTGGGACTTACCAGTACTAAGTAATAAGTGTTTCCTGCTCACAGATACAATGGTTTGCCCTGACAGGGTTTGAACCCAAGGGGCCAGCAATCCTTAGATTACAAGTCTGACGTGTTAACCACTCAGCTATGCCTCCTCTCATAAAATGACTACTTGTTAAAATGAAGATAATGACAATGTTCATATTTTTTATGTAGATATCACATGGTTTTACCAATGCTAATAATTAATGTGATCTTCAAGGAAAACAACAAAGTATGCACAAGTTTTCACAATATTCATACTTACTGCAGATCTTGTTCATTTTTCAGTAGAAAGTAATGAGGTTTTGCTTTATGATTTGGCTTTTCTGGTATAGCTAAAATACATGACATACTTGCACCAGATGGCAACTGGGGAATTTCTTTGAAGTTTTTACCTGCATGTTCTCCGAACGCAAAGTGCTTACACACATCCTGATAAATATACATGTAGATTATGCTAGTGGTAAGTATCAGAAAGTAATAACAATAATTATAATCTCTAAGAACATTGTTTTCTTAACCTATATCTCATTAATTGTCATAGATGGGCATGTCTATCTTTCAGTCAGGACAAAACCATTCATTGTTTTTGGTGAAAAACTTTCAAAAAAATTACTGAAATGAAGTCTGAATAGTGAACAAAGCAGACTGGCATGACAGTATTTTTTTACTGTATATAACAGAAGCCTATTAAAGGCCTTTTCAATATCAAAATTTTTTTTAAAATAATGCAGTTTTCCCAAAAAATCTGTACTTAAACCAGCTTTCTTACTAAATTGTTGTTCAATTGAATTCCTCAGTATATTCATTAATTATCATTCATATATTTTTTTAATATAGTTGATCTATGTACCAATCTTGATTCATTGACATATATATTTTAGGCCGGTGCTCCTTTGAAGAAAATCAAGTCTCATATAAAATATTCATGTTGTAATATGTTCAAGTTGACCAGGAATTAAGTCTGCTTTCACACACACATATCACCAGAAAAAAAGCCTAGAAAAAAACTCTGAAGTAAGTGTATAAATTATGATTATTATTACCTTCATTTTTATTTGTACTTTAGCTTCCCTATCTCCCTGTCTTTTATATGCCAGTAAACTACTGTCTGAGTATAACTTAAGATACACATCATTCCAACCCCCAGAAAACATATTCTCTGAAAAATACAAAAAAAATTAAAATTGTATTATAGTTCGTAAACAAAAGTAACTCTTTTATTGCTCCTTTGACTTGGTTGCTATGGAAAGTCAAAGATTGCTATTGAAAGTCAATGACTGCTATGGAAGTAACTGGTTGCTATGGAAAGTAAATGGTTGCTATGGAAAGACAAATATTCATCCTATGGAAGTCACTGTTTGCTATAAGTCAATAGTCGCTATGGAAAGTCAATGGTTGCTATGGAAGTCACCGGTTGCTATGGAAAGTCCCTGGTTGTTATGGAAGTCAATAGTTGCTATTGACAGTCAATAGTTGCTATGAAAGTCACTGGTAGCTACATAAGTCACTGGTTGCTAAGGAAGTCAACAGTTGCTATGGAAGATAATGGTTGCTTTTGAAAGTCACTGGTTGCTATGGAACATTATCCATTGCTATGGAAGTCACTGGTGGCTATAAAAATTCAATGGTTGCAATGGAAGTTACTGGCTGATATACATATATGGAGAATCCATCCCCTCTCCAATGGGTGGAGCCATTGTAGCCTGAGGGCTAAAATTTTATCAGATGTAGTAGAGGTCAACATTTTAGTGTTTTATGCCAAACATGTAAGTTCTAACCGCTTGTAAGATTTTACTATATACAAAATTCCTGACTGCTCCGGGATGGGGCCAATTTAGACCCCATTTGAACAAACATGGTATTCCAGGTTCATTAGACAATGTTTCATACCAAATATCTAAGCTTAATTCTCAATGGTTTTTGGGAAGAAGTTTTTAAAGTTTTTACTTTATACATATAAGAAAATCTATTACTCTCTAGGGTAAGGCCAATTTATACCCTAGGACTGGCTATACATGAAATTTGAACAAACTTTTTAGAGGTCAATCTATATTTAGCCCTTCTGACATAGATGTTCAATGGAGCAGAATTTCAGTGGAGATTCATGCTAGAAACATGGCAGGAAAATTTCATCAAATAATTTTCTAAGCAAACCGGGCAAAAAGGAGAGAGACAAAGCAACTATTTCGCCAAAGTCGCCTGGAAACGTGATCCCTGTTTTGACGTAGTGGTTTCAGAACAGTAACTGCTGTTGTTTAATAGAAAAATTGATGACAGACGCACGCAAACAAATTGTGATCACAAAAGTTCACCTTGAGCTAAAAATAGTTTAACAATTAAATAATATTATCATATCATTTAAAGCAGTATGCATCCTGTCTCAGGAATCTTGAAAATATTCATGAAAATATAGACAGTGTACATTTATTAGAAAGTGAAAATATTGTAAAGTGAACAAATACAGTAAGTTATCATAAGATTCTCACCCTCACCTTACCTAAAATATGACAAGATACATTATGTAATTTTAGTTTTTTTCTCCGTTTGTAACACAGAAAACTCATGGCAATAAAAGAAATAAATTCAGTTAAAATTCTGTTTAAAAATATGTAAAATTGATTTTAATATTTATACAATTGTTAAACCGTGGTAAAATTTTTAGTCCGATTCTTTCATAACTTTTCCACTCACAAGGAGATTTGCAGCTTTAAAGGCCCATTATGCCTCAGAAATGTTTTTATTTTTATTTCTCAAAAGCTTTTTTAATTTTGGTGTACTTTTATAGTATCCAAAAAGTTACTCATTGGCCAATTATCTGAACCATCTTTTCCATCTGTTGCTTTTTTTTTTTTTTTGTGGCAATAATAACATTTATAGTGAATGAGTATTTTGTATAGAAGTCAAAATACTACTTTGTTCACATTTTGCTACTTTTATAACAAATTATTTCACATTTATCGCTACTTTCTTCAGGAAACAAAAACCATTATTTAAACATTATAAAATATTGCCCTTTCCACAAAGTAAAATTAAAAAATAACTTATTTCTGAGGCATAATGTGCTTTTTCATAAGGAAGATAAGCTCATTAAAAAATGTCATCTTTTTCTTTTCTTTACATAATATTATCTTTACATAATATTAAAAACTTTTCTACAACCAGGAAGTAGAAATTGTTTCACATGTCATTATTATATAGTCATCAAAACCTGATGTTTTTTCTAATGAAAACAAATCTATACAAATTAAAGGTACATGTAATACTATGCTTATTTTAAAGCTGCACTCCTCCAGACGAACCAAAATATTTCAAGAAATTCATTCTTTAGAAAAATTTATTAAAATCTTAATAAAAGTAAAAAGATTCAATATTTAATTAATTATTTACATGTTGTGTGCAATTAATGACTGATTTTACAGTATCAATCACTATAATTTGACTGCGTTACCAACGCAGTAAGAGGTATTAATGTATATTTTGACATCTTTTGGTAATTAACGTGGATTATAAGTGCCGTTTGCAATGTGTAAATTACTATCTTTGTTCACTTCACAATATTTTACTTTCAAATACATTTTCAAAATTTTCATGAAAATTAGCATGAATCTGGAGGCATGCTGCTTTAAGGTACGTGTAAAAATACTTTTATTGCTGAAATTGATTGAAATCTAGGAGTTTAACTTAAAATGTCTAATTTTAAAGAAAGGAATACACAAGGTTTGTGAAGCTGCATTTCCTATTACTGCTCAATAAGTTTGGACCTTTCTTATAAAAACTGCAAATTTTTATTAATGACACTATGTATTCATAATGTGTTTACCTTAAAAATAACATATCTTCTCAGCATTTAATTAAATGGTGTTAATTTCACATTTAAATGAAACTCACTCACTGTACAGCAATTATCATTATTTTCAAAATATTAAATTTGAGGATAATATACCTTTAACAGTGTACAATAATAATAATAATAATAATGATGAAAATTGGAATAAAAAGTTGTAGACTTACTGCTATGTCGTTTGACATAACCCTCCTTCACAACCGACATTGTCTCAATTTTTTTGGCTCCCTATATCAATCTGAAAGAATAAAACATTCAAGTACACAACTTCTTGTATAAACTAAAGGCAGTCATTATGTTGCTGTTCCATGATAGGATTTTTTATTTAAAAATAAGTAAAATTGTCATTGAGAATGAGTCAGTCTGAAACAGCCTGTACATGTAAGAAAAAACATCGAAACATGAGCATAGCCTTAAAGTATAATTCTGATTGTCGATTTTCTTCTGTATCATAGGCAAAATTAATATGAAATTAGGCAAAGCCTATGAACGGGGAAGTCGTTAAAAATTCCTTTCATTCTTTCCGTTTTAAAAGTGTCATTCGGTATTATATACACCGCTTCCGTTTTCACTCGGAACACTCGACGATTATCATTTATCCGAAAAGTTGAGATTTGTGCCGTTATCGGAATACCCCGCCTATTATCAATGCGTAACATTGTAAATGGCGGCGCCCGACTAGAACTGACACTGAAAATTTCATTGATAGGTATAGAATTCTATATATTTTTTAATTGTTTTTTATTTCATTTTCTTTGACTTCCCCGTAATATAATATGAAAAAGGCAAAGCCTCAAAGCGAGCTCGATGTACTTTTAACGTGAAATAGTATGAAATAATCGCTCATTTTTATTTCAAATGCAGTGACCAGTGCATGTGACGTCACACGTACTGTGTCACACGCACTGTGTTAAATATGGCTCCGCCCCTGTCGTTAAATGAATAACGAGTTTTGGAAACGTTGATAAAATTTTGTTTGTTTATTTCACTCTATAATTTTTCAAGCGAAATAAAGATTAATATGAAAATAGGCAAAGCCTATGAACGGGGAAGTCGGTAAAAAATCCTTTCATTTTTCCGTTTTAAAGGTGTCATTCGGTATTATATGTACCCACTTCCGTTTTCACTCGGAACACTCGACGATTATTATTAACCCGAAAAGTTGAGATTTGTTCCGTAATCGGAATACACCGCCTTTTATAATTGAGTTACATTGTAAATGGCGGCGCCTAACTAGAACTGACACTGAAAATTTCATTGATAGGTATAGAATTCTATATTTTTTTATTTTTTTTTTAATTTGAATTTTCTTTTAAATATACACGTGTAGTCTATAGCCGGGCAAGCCAAAGCCCGGGCCGACTTCCCTGTATTAAAAGTGAAATAAATGTAAAACTTTAAACGTTTGCGACATTAAAAAAGCGTACTTGATTTGATTGTTTTGCACGTGCTGTTTGGCGCTACATTGTGACGTCACATAAACAATACTTTAAACGTCTGTACAGCGTTAACGACTGAATAAAAGATATTGGTGTTAAGATTCATTTTCTTAGTTAAACCATTTTCTTTCATTCTAGATAGATTTCACAACAAAATTCGACAAAAAAATTGTTTTTATTTATCCGATTTTTCAAACAAAATGGCGCCTTCATTTTTCATTTTACATTTTCCGTTTTAAAACTGTCATTCGATATTTTATACACAGCTTCCGTAATTCTGGTTCCCTGTCTAATTATGGTTTCCATAGACGTGCGCGGGTGACCAGTCTACACATCCGTTTTCAGTCAGAATTTTTCAGTTTTTATCGTTATCTTTAAATTCGAAAAGTTGCGATGTGTCCAATTCGGTACTTTGGACGAAAGTTTTCAAAACCATCACTTAGCAGGTACTCGCGTTACTGTAAAGCTCGCTTGACGAGCAGGCCCTTAGGGCCAGCTCGTCGAGCTCGCTATCAGATGATTATGTTCTGATAAAAAACTTGTGAAATTTATAAACTAATATGAAATTAGGCAAGGCCTATGAACGGGGAAGTCGTTAGAAATTCCTTTCATTCTTTCCGTTTTAAAGGTGTTATTCGGTATTACATACACCGCTTCCGTTTTCACTCGGAACACTTGACGATTATCATTTATCCGAAAAGTTGAGATTTGTTCTGTTATCAGAATACCCCGCCTATTATCATTGAGTTACATTGTAAATGGCGGCGCCCGACTAGAACTGACACTGAAAATTTCATTGATAGGTATAGAATTCTATATATTTTTTAATTGTTTTTTATTTGGTTTTCTTTTAAATATACACGTGTAGTCTATAGCCGGGCAAGCCAAAGCCCAGACCCGCTTCGCGGGCCCGGTCTTTGACTTCCCCGTATAACACTTTCCCTGTCATCGCAATATGAAACTGTGCACGGGTCTAATATTTTTTACCAGTATCATAGATCAGGACAAGGAAAACTGTTTATTGTACAGAAATACTATCTGCCCAGTCACCAATTATCTGCCTTGATAAGTTCTGCTCTGTCTTATGTTACACCCTGTCTTAAGCATATAAAGTCTCTAAAGTAGCTGTTAGCTCAATATGTTTAGTGTTGGACTGTGAATCAGGCGACCTGGACACAGACAGTGCAGGTGAAGTCACTTTCATTGTGATTGATCATGACATCCTCCTACAGTACAGTTGTTTACAATGTACATGTACCTCTGCAGTGGCATCATGTACAGAAGTTATCAGTTCCATGCAAAAGTGAAGGAAACTAAAACTGGTAAACAGCTTGACAATTTACCCAGGAATGATGTGGTGGTTTGACTTTATTCTTGTAAATTTAATGTGGCTCAATGTCGTGATCCGAATGGTTACCAGTAACCTATATATCAATGCTTTCATAAGCCCCTAATTTGTAACAGAATATTATTAAATTCATTAGCATTAAAGTTACTTTTAGTTTGTAGATCAAAAAGTCAATACCTGATCAATTTGGTAAAACTGGTAAACACCTATCTTACTTGGCTATCAATTTTTAAAATGTTCTCGATTTAGGTTTGAACAAGCACAAAAATACCGAATAAAAAAGTGGAACTTACAACTGAGATAAAATATGCAGATGTGTTTAATTTCAAAATAATAACATGTCGAAATAATCGTCAATTTTTACGTGAGCATGAGCTGTCAATTTTCTTTAATTTGTAAACAAATCGGTGCATGAGATAACCACGCTGTGAAATTTACTTATCATGAAGGTTCTGGAAGAGTGCAACAGGGCGTTATTATTTTTATCTATTTTTTTTGGAGATATTTAACAGATTCGCATAATTATTATTTTACAGACCTGTACGTTACTCATATGACAGTTGAATTTAAGCTAATATTAGTCAATATTTGTTCCAAGAAGTCTTATAAAATTACATAAAAATGATTATTTCACTCATCTGTCCAGAACAAAAATAAACATTCCAAGGACCTTTATATTTGGGAGCGAAACTAGTATTTCCCTTTATATTTGGAGTCATTTAGAACAGTTTTTTATGTTACCTGTATAAACTTAGACATAAAGAGATTTGTCCTTACATATACGTGCACAAAACTGTAAACGGAGGTTCCAAAAATGACCACAGTTTTAATAATTATAATGCTGTTTTTTTCTTCTCTGAGTTATAATAGTAAATTAATGATTGAAATAGCTATACAAAAAATATTAAACAAGGCCTAATTTTTACAAATCCCGTCCACCTTCAAAAAGAGAGAAACACACACACACGCACGCGCAAACTTGAACACACACGCGCGCGCGTGCGCGCGCACGCACACACACATCCTGCAAACCAAATCATTTTATTGCCCTAAAAATGACTGGAAGGCAGAGTCTGTCGGCGAAAATCACATCATTTTGATTAAAAAATATTTGCTTTTAAGGATTGTTAACAAGAAAGTGCCTAGCTTGGTGATCAACCCACCATAACTAATCAGTTGCCTTTCGGATGAGACTTTGTTGTACATTATCGCACTGGGAAATCTCAGCTTCAAGTTCACCATCCGCCAAAATAAATAAATAAAATAGATAAGAAAAAAAATCCCACACTCTTACTAGTTTACACACTTCTAAAACAATTCACCCAGATGTGTTTCTGGCGACCGTTGTATAAAATGACTGAGTGGTTATCGCCTCCGACTAGTAAGTTTTACACCCTTTCATTTGTAAGACTTCAAGAGCAAGAAACTTTACACTCATTGGCTAGTACTGGTTGGTTCCAGGAACGGATTCGAAAGTGTGTCTATATAAAAGCTTATAGCTAAATCCCACGCAATTGACTTTTAATAACTTCTGTCACTCTTATGGGTTTCTGGTGGCGGTTATATAAATGAAGCGAATTGAAAAAGGCTTCGGAAAGTTGACATCGTATGTTTGGATGTTTTCTGCAGTTTTTTTTTATTCATTGGACTAACAAGGATGATTGGATGATGCCTGTAGATCTATATTGTATATAGATTCTGGATAAATTTAAACAAAGAAACAAACAAACAAACAATCAACATTAAAGTTTTATTTATAAATAACATTGTCTAACTGATAAAGCATCTGTCAACGGCGTTTAATACTTTACATGTGCAGTGTATCTCTAAGCCATTTGAACATCTAGTTGTTGTGTTATCATTTACGCTTAAATACATTTTACATTACTTTACTACATATGGTAATAACGATTTAATGTTACATTTAAAGGAACACCACTGAGGCCTAAAAGACTAAAATCATAAAATTAGATCAGCTAAGGCATTTAAAACAGAAAGACATTCAATATATAATTAAGAAATGTACTCGGAAATAAATTAGAAATCGTATGTGTGTGCTATTCAGACCTCGATTGGAGAGAAAAGCGTTGCAACGCTTTTCAGTTTTGGACATTTTTCACAATTAAAAATTATTCTGGAAAAAACGGAGTGAGCGAGTGATCTGGACTTTCGCACACAAGTTTTTGTTTAAAATCTGCATAAAATTGGGTCCCTTTAAAGGTAATAAATAAAATGATTTGCCAGGAACATACCTCTGTAATTTGATTTCTACATGGTTTTATTTAATGATTATTATTTGCTTTCATTATTTTGTATGTTAGGCATGACACAAAGTTTGACAGCATGGATACATGTACTAGTATATATTTTTTTCAAGTCTTCAAGTGTTTGATGTAGATCTAGACCAGTGACCAGTTTGCAAAATTTTAAATTATACGCTCATTCCGTTTTTTTTCAGAATAATCATTTTAATTATGCTAAATGACCCAAAAATGATAATCATTAAATCATATCGCGCTAAGAATCTCACACAAAATCGATTTTCAATTAAATTCTGAGTACATTTCTTTATTATCTTTTGCATGTTTTCATTTTCTCCCACGTTGATCTATATAAGACTTTCAAATCTCATGTTATTAGGAATTTATACCCCAGAGAAGCACCTATATTATCTAATAATGCATTTTGATGTTTGACATGAAAACAGCAACTTTCTGCAATCTCGGAGATAGATTATCCAATAAATAGTAATATTAATCAAAACTGCCGAAACTCCCACAACTTCCACCACTTCCGAAACTATCAAATGAACTCCAACTTCCGGATCGACCCATCCCAAACTTCCCAAAACCTCCAAGCATCTTCTTCGCGCCATACCCTAACGCAGCGCCACCTAGCAAACCTGAAAGTACAAACGTATACATGTTCTTTATTGAAAATTACATCAAAATAGATATTGTAACAATTAAATATATACACGCATTTTGTTCGTATATATGTATGTTCATAAAGCAATACTGAGCGTTTGTATCAGGAGATGTTTTACTTTTCACAGGAAAAAGTCTAATGACACATACACATGCAGTTATGACCTAAAGTCACATATCCTTCATTCACTTTATTCTTTGTTCTAATCTACCCATAAAGGGTTGGCCATTTACACTTAATTAGTTTATTAATTAGCTATTAATTAGCTACATTGTCAAGAAAGCCAAAGGCTTATTGAAATCACTCCCGAGGCCACTTCCTCAACTATGCAGTACTGTTGTGGTACGAGGAAACATGACCGTGACCTCGGTAGGGCTTGACCTCACGATCCTTTGGTTGAGCAACATATACATATAATTATTTCCTTAAAACACGACCGTTTATGATGAAAAACCTTGGAATTACCCAAAATCGAGATTTTCCATGTTAACACGTGACCTTACACCTAATTTTGGTGAAAAATTGTTGTTTTGTGGCATTTTTTTATTTTTTACCCCATGAGCATATTGTGAACAAGAGCTGTCGGTAGGACAGCAACGCTCGACTATTCTTAGTGCTTGATAGTAAAAAAGCCTTGATTAAAAGGTAAAATTTTCTAAGTAAAAAAATGGCATTTTTTTTCTTTAAATCCATATTACAGTTATAGGCCTTGGAGAGGGTCCTATTATGCTCTCAAAGAAGAGTATAAAATTTCAACATGTTTCAAAGCCTTATGTCAATGAATATTGAAAATATTTGAGGTATTACAAAACCTTTAACGTAAATTCTAAGTCGAAAAAGGGGCATAATTCTGACAAAATGCTTGATAGAGTTACCTCCTCCTGTCTACAGGTTGGGGTCATGATGGTGAACAACTGTGCAAAGTTTCAAAGTCATATGTCAATGGACTTTTAAAATATTTGAGGTATTACACAAACTTAAACGTAAATTCTAAGTCGAAAAAGGGCATAATTCTGTCAAAATGCTTGATACAGTTACCTCCTCCTGTCTACATGTTGGGGTCATGATGGTGAACAAGTGTGCAAAGTTTCAAAGTCATATGTCAATGGACTTTTAAAATATTTGAGGTATTACAAAAACTTTAACATAAATTCTAAGTCGAAAAAGGGGCATAATTCTGACAAAATGCTTGATAGAGTTACCTCCTCCTGTCTACAGGTTGGGGTCATGATGGTGAACAAGTGTGCAAAGTTTCAAAGCCATATCAATGGACTTTGAAAATATTTGAGGTATTACAAAAAGTTTAACATAAGTGGTTACGCCGACGCCGACGCCGACGCTCGGATGACGAATAGTCGAGGTAAAACGGCAGTTTTCATTGAAAAGCCTCCATGCAGTTACAAATTCCAACTGCTATAGAACTATGAAAAATGCTTAAATACTGGTGAAACTTGGCACATATGATGACTTAACAATAACCTCTGTAACAACATGCTTAATCTTAAATTTCCTGTTACCATGGCAACGAGGGGACGTCTCAAATTTGCGAAAAATCACAATTTTGCATTGTTTTTTTATATCAAAACTTGTTTCAAAGTGCTGCAACTTCTCAGGGCAATGAGATAGAGTAAAAGGCTTTTCAGCGTTGGTTACACGTCACCTTTAGAGGCCATTTTTAGCCTGTCACATGTCCAAAATTTTCTTGGCGATGAGGGGGACTAACGTCCCCTTCAACCCCCCCCCCCCAAACAGATTGGGGTACACCTCCCTTCTGGCAACCCCCTGATGTATCATTTTGATGGGGGGCCGCACCGAAAAAGTGGTCACTTTTCTCAAACGAAATACAGTGTTTGGGGCCTAAATAGGGCATTTTTTCAGTTTGAGGCCTTAAAGGGGGGGGACAAAAAGCCGTCAAAACACGTCTATATGAGGGAAAAGGTTAATGAGCTTTTTCATTCTCAATATTGTATTTTACTTGCACAATCCATGACCATTTATGTTTACCTGCTGCAATTTTGCCTGCTTTTCCTCCCGGAAAGCCGCCACCCTTTTTATGATGACCTTGAGAATGACCTTGAACCGGTTGCTGGTAACCATATGCTGCAAGTGAGAAGTCAGAATTGAAGAGTTTTTTATTTTTACAAAATGAGATTACTAGTATATAATATATGTAAATTATGAATTATGTATCACAACATCTGCAAATATCAGTTAGTCCTTCAAAAGTGAATCTAAGTACATTAATTATTTAATTTTATTGGTATAACTCAGCCTTTAGTTGTAATATCCACCCGCCGTGCATGTAAGCTGTCACCTACAGTTTTGTTCGAACATGTAATATAGAGGTTGTAAATAAGATATATACTATAAAGCATACACAAAATCTGGACTAGTTCCACATAACTGAGTATCACAGATACAGATTTTGCTTTATTTCTAAATACTTTTAGAATAAGAAATATCCTGTCAAAAAATTGTTTTCGATCTAACGTATCGACACTTTTAATTCGGATTTAGTATTTTGGGGGATTGGAACATAAGTATTTTGGGGATCGGACGATCAAGGTTAGATTTGATTATTTATAGGCTTACATTGTTGTTGGGGGTATCCTGGTTGGTGTGTTGGATAGCCTTGATAAGTTTGATATACTGGCTGCTGCGAGGGATACTGACCACTGGAAACTGGACCTGGTAAAATTTACAAATACAGATGTCTTAGTAATAACCATTTTAATAAAAGGAGGACCGAGAATGACATTACAAATTGATGAATCCAAATTTTGTTTGTAAATAATATCAATTCATGTAATGATATGCAAACTTACACAAATAAAAATGATTAATGATTTGGAACTGAATTTGCGTTGGAATTATTGTCTATCATATTTCATATCATCTGATTCGTTAATATCTTAATAAGTTTATACCAGCTGTATATAATCCAAGACATTTTAGTGCTATATGAAATGTTAATTCCTAATGCTTATAAATGATTATATGCTTTCCTTTACGTTATACCGGTTATTACTCAAAACAAATTAAAATTTTCAAAGTAGATCTTATATTGATAAGACATGCCTCCATATCCCCTGGGTTGTGTTGAACATGCGCCCCCATATTGTGGTCCATAATTGTATGGTGTTGGTTGAAAATAATTCTGCTCCTGTCCCATACGAGCACTTTGATCAATCTGAAATAGAACATGTGATTTTTGGGTTCCGCTTTACAAGACCACCAACTATCAAGAGGTCATGCCATTCATGCGATGTACTCTATTAGCATATTATGTGAAGGCAGGTACGTATATATATGGCCCAAAATGACAAAACAATAATAACTTGTTACTACATGTATATAAAATTTCATTCGTGTGCAGTCGCGATTTGGCTGGTAGTAAGATTGCGTTTTTACTCGTTACAATTCCGGAAATAATTTAGCTTTGTAAATGATAATTAGACTGTTAAAAAGATCAAATTCTGAGCTTTCTTTTGATAGGTATTTTGCGAAATTCGGACCATAAATGACGAAAAAATCTTATATTTGTTCGAAGAGGGGATCATTATTTTTACTGAAGTTTTGACATAATCGGGAGACAAAAAAAACACAACTCTGTGTTTAACTCGTCGTAATTTTCTTCATAATAAACGCACTGATTTATAAAATATATATTTGAAAAAATCTATCTTTCAGCTTTCTAGAATATGTTACTTTTGAAAAATTGAACAGAAAATAACATGTTGACGGTAATTTAAATAACCAAGGTCATATATCATATCGCTTAACACCGCTTAATGATATGTAATCGTCGATAAAAATCAATAACGATCGGCAGTCTGGATGGATTATTTGCCACGACAGCATTATTTACCGTTATTGATTTACTGTATAGAGTTGCGGATACCGTTAATATACATACCTGATGAAGGGCATTTAAAGTAATGCAAATAAAAATAAATAAAAAATGATGAAAGTTGCAGCGTAAAAATATGTACACATACTGCATTTTTACTTGAAAATAAACTGCTTTAATACTCACTGTTGAACATATTGCCGACATCCATTCACTGTAAACAAAACAAAATAATGTCATTTAATTATTAAAAATTATTTTTCCAACTTTCTATAGCAATGAAACATTTCTTTTCCAAACCACAATATTCAAATGAGAAAAGCGCTGTTCAAAACAATATCTGTGTAACGTTACGTAAAACGTTATTTGGACGTTTGTAACGTCGTTTTTCATTGGAAAATCGTGACGTTTTATATAAACTATACGAGCAAACACAGCTACTGTCAATTTATGAAGTAATTTCTTCAGTTTGTTGTATATTAAAGATTCGTTAAAAAGATTCTTGACAGGTTATATACGACTGCAAGAATTCAGTTTGATAATTTTATATTCCGTTATGGCTTTCCTGCCCGGCTCCTAGTATATGACCGTAAATAAACGGTTGTTATAGCAACTTAGTCATATATGCAAACATCAGTTTATATACGGCCATATAACCAACCTGTCAAAATCTTTATAACATATAATTCTGTCTTTTTTGTATCATTGTATGAACATCACTGTTGGAAGTTGAGAAGATGCAATTGTAAGCACAATTCACTAATAATTATGTACAGTATCGACAAATTTTGTACATTTGATCATGAGTTCGATTAGATGTTTTCTCAAAATAAAACTTTACTGCATATCTTGTCCATTTTGCATCAAGAAAAAGTGCGGTTTTGAATGTCTGTTAGGTCTCTCGGGTATGGCGAGGATACACGAGATATCAGCACCGGGTGATAGAGGAGGCAAATTACGAAAGTTTCTGGCTGCATGCTCACCATAGGCAAAATGTTTACAAACATCCTGTTAAAATACAGTAATAACTTGCATATGATTGTAAAGTTATACATAATTATTCATTAATATTCATTAATATTCTAAGATTAAACAATGTTTATTCTGCTACATACATACATACATACATACATACATACATACATACATACATACATACATACATACGCACATACATACGCACATACATACATACATACATACATACGCACATACGTACGCACATACATACGCACATGCATACGCACATACATACGCACATACATACATACATACATACGCACATACGGACGCACATACGTACATACATACGCGAAAACATACGCGAAAACATACGCACATACATACGCACATACATACATACATACATACGCACATACATACATACGCACATACATAACGCACATACATACATACGCACATACATACGCACATACATGCATACATACATACGCACATACAAACGCACATACATACGCACATACATACGCACATACAAAAATATGTACGTGTAATCTGTCCATTCATTATTCTATGTCAAAAAAAGTTTAAAAATTGCCAGAAAATCTAGAACAGTAACGTAAATATGAACATACTGGTATATTTCTATTAAACTTACCCTCATGCAGATTCGAACTTTGGGGTTACCATCACCGTGTCTTTTGAAAGCCAGGAGCGTGCTGTCCGAGTACAGCATCAAATATATGTCCTTCCAACCACCTTTTAACAAACTCTCTATAAATAAACGAGATGAAAATAAATTAAAACCACACCTGTCGAATCATAATTGCAATATGCAATAAACTATACTGGGCACAACTATTATCACAATCATAATGATTATGATTATTATTGTAGTTGTTGATGCTGCTGCAATACAAAGAATTGTTCCGTACGTTTTCTAATTTTCTGTTGTTGTTGTGTTTGTTTGTTTTTTTTTTTGTCTTTTTTTTTGGGGGGGGGGGGCTGTTGTTTGTTTTTTTTTATTCAATAAACATGATATAAATTCATGTCTCTTTCTTAAAACGTTCAGAGAAGTTATATCACACTGTTAATATTAATTAACATTACAGTGCATTGACTTTACTAATTACCAAAAACTGGGCAAAATACAAAGGTAGCAAAAGATGGCACATGTATCTATAGCTTTTGAAACTGTAACAGGATAAATGTCTAAATTAAAAGCTTTTGAATAATAATAATAATAATGATGACAATGACAACAACAACAATAATAATAATAATTATAATAATAATGATGACAATAATAATAATAAAAATAATAATAATAATAAAAAATAATAATAATGATGACAATGACAATAATAATAATAATAATAATGATGACAATGACAACAACAACAACAATAATAATAATAATTATAATAATAATGATGACAATAATAATAATAAAAATAAAAATAATAATAATAATAATAGTAATAATAATAATAAAAAATAATAATAATGATGATGACAATGACAATAATAATAATAATTATAATAATAATGATGACAATAATAATAATAATTATAATAAAATAATAATAATAATAATAAAGAATAGCAATTAAGGTGCTTAATGAACATTTAGCTTTAATGCAAGCGATAGTGGTGTTTAGGGAAAACAACAGTAAATATATGTAATTATAACTTACTACTGTATCGTTTGACATATCCTTCCCTTACAACCGACATCATACGAGGTGAATTTATCTTTTAATCTGAAAATAAACATCATTTTATATTATCGTACAATTTTTTTAATTCTTTTTTTTTAAATTTTATATTGCATGCATCTGCTACGTATATGGAAAACACACGCCAAAACTAACTCTTCACATAAGGAGTTCCTTACGTTTTTTTATGATTATTACTATGATTATACATTATCAAGACTTTTTTGCACGTGGTCGTTACTTTTTTGGATTTTTTTTAAAAAGGCAATACAAATATACAAAACATATTAAATACGTTTCTTAGTAACCGAAATTAGATCATATCATATACAACAAAGCATAAATTTGTTAAATAAAAAAGCAAATGTGCTTGACATTTTAAAGTAAAATTACACTTAAATTTAAGAAATACAGTAAAAATGTGTTCCTAACTTACAAATACAAAATGTAAACAAATAAATAAGGGCATGTTAATTAATCAATAGTTTGAACGCTGTTAAAATCGGAGGAGGTTGAAGTCACTGTCATCTGACCGAATAAACATTGACTTTCGATTCACAAAGTAAATTAACAAAATACGCACAATTCGTTAAAAAACTGAGCAACGATAATTAAAAAAAAAATAAGCAAAACTATTGAATGAATCATAATAAATGTCACTTTAGTTGATCAAAGTATGGGCGATGTGTATATAAACACAACCGTTTAGTGAATACATCAATCAACAAGAAGTCAGCTTGGCCAACTTCCATTTACCTATTAGCTAACTCGAGTTTGTTTTCTTTTATCTTTAAGCTATTTATTTACAAATACCAACCTATCTCTGGTATTAGTCACACAAATTATATTCATTATCATTTATTTTGTTAAGTTTTAATTTCATAATACATTTTAATGTGAATGAATCCAATAAAGATATTTTAACTTTTGGCTTGTTTACACCAGAGGCATAGATTTCTGACAACACCTCGAGGTTCATTTAAGGGTACGAATTTTGTGGGCTTTTTTGTTTGTTAGTTTTTTTGTGTGTTTGCTTTTTTACATAATAATAGTATATATGTTAATAAATAATTTTATGGAACTGTTACTAGTAAACAATATTATAGATAGAGGCATTGTTTTTGTAATAGTTTTCGACGTTTGCTTTGGTTCAAAACCGAATTCCTAATAATGATACAATATGTCGTTGAAGTAGAAAAAGAACGCAACTGTTATTACGTATGCACTCCTTACTTTATTCACGATTTTTTTTTGATTTTGTTCTGTACCATATTTACATTGATATTAACCAATCCACGAAAAATAACTTTACAATGCTTGATGACGAACAATCTAAGATATGTATAACTAAGACCAGAAGATTATATTTACGGTCCCAAACTCTGACACAAAAGGCCTGGGAAATCAAGTTTGTCAAATAAAATCCTCACCCCAAACGAAAAATTAACATCTAACGACTTGTGATTTGACCGTTATGAATAGCTTTAAAGCAAAAACTAAGCAAAAAAAATCTTAAAGCTATGGAAAATAATCAACAATAACAAATAAAAAAGAGAAACTAAATTTTTTTTAAGAAAATAATAATAAAAAAAGAATCACACTCACCTTTTAATGTGTTAGATAATGTTTAATTAGTCCGTTAACTAGTTTATTTATACACTATGCGTGTTGTGAATATATGCTGCGTTCTAGAATATATTAATTAGTGAGTAAAGTAAACAAGCTCAAGTAAGTTGTGGGAATTAATCAACATCATAGTAAACATTTGACCAGTATTGCCGAGGTTATGGAAGTGTTGCAATTTGAATTAAAAATTGATAGGGCAATTTCTCCAGATTTGTCTATAAACTGGGGCAGTAACATCTCGGTTTGTATTTAATATAAATTTTGTAAAATGACCTACACTACAGTAGGCTTTATTTATATATTTATCATGGCATGCAAATTTCCTTTTTTTTTCATATTGATGATTATCATATAAAGTCTTGTTGAAACCAGTCCCAGCAGTTGCAAAGAAACGAGGCAACGATACGCGCATCTCCCATTAGTATTTATTGTTTCAATTAAGTTTCATTGAATTTCAAAAAGTAAATGCAGAGAAATAGCGAGGAAACGATTTTTGCTCTATATGCATACTGCATATCTCATCAAGAGCCATAACCCCGTGTTGGAAAGTCCGACCGGAAAGTGGTGACAATATCACATCTACTCATGGTATTGATGATATCCGTAAAGTTTCCTCGAGTTCCAGCCGGTAGTTGCAGAGAAATAGCGCGGAAACGATTTTTGCTATACATGCAAAACTAATCAAGGGTCATAACTCTGTGTTAAATAATCTGACAAGAACAAGGCGATCATATGCGCATCTCCTCTTGGTATTGATGGTTCCCATAAAGTTCCAGTAAATGCAGAGAAATAGCAAGGAAATGATTATTGCTCTATATGCATACTGCATAACTAATCAAGGGTCATAACTCTGTGTCGAAGGGTCTGACCAGAACAAGGCGACAATATGCCCATCTCCTCTTAATATTGATGGTTCCCATAAAGTTTCATTGAATTCCAGTCAGTAAATGCAGAGAAATAGCAAGGAAACGATAATTGCTCTATATGCATACTGCATAACTAATCAAGGGCCATAACTCTGTGTCGAAGGGTCTGACCGGAACAAGGCGACAATATGCCCAACTCCTCTTGGTATTGATGATTCCCATAAAGTTTCATTGAATTCCAGCCAGTAGTTGCAATGTTGATATCATTGTTATATGACCTTTATGGAAACCTGCAACAAGAAGTTTGGTTATAGCATCCTTATATTTCAAAAGCACGTTACATTTATTTTCAATGTACTCTTCATTTAAATTTAAAAAAATAAGATGAAAGAAAAAGCAACACGATTTTTGTATAAATTTATTTACATTGTATACATAAATAACATATACAATCGTGTTTTTCATGTTTCGCAAATAATCTACATACATATGTTTAACGATGTACTATAATATCAAAACAGTTTAACAGTTTGTTTTTTTTACTGAAGAAATGTCTAACCATATTGAAATTTATATGCATGCATGTTTTTTGTACATAAAGAAGCCCACATTTTAAAGGTGGAATGATGAATTATATAATTATGTTACTATTGGAATTTTAACATTCGTAATTGCCAACTTTTACAAAATACATTTGAACCAAACAAAGGTAATCTACATGTTTATAGCAAATATAGTAATTGAATAGATTTATAGTAAGACTGGACAATTTTATTTAGTATAATTTTTAAACCATTTCCAATTATACATAAAAAATTATAACTAAATAAATAAATAAACAAACCACAGAGTCATGGCGATAGTTCGACGTTGTTTCCAATGAACACATTTATTTCAAAATCAATATTGAGTTCTCATTGTCCCATATGGTCTTTTTACCACTCATCGACTTACGGAATAAAGGTTTAAATCTTATGCGTCTTGATTTTGCCTCGGTAGCAAGTCAGTAAAAAGACCATCCAACCATATATGTCAACTTTTGAAGAAAAAGATGGAGTTCGATGGACAGAGAAAGGCGCGAAAATACCCTTTACAGAAGCCGGGAAAGAAATGTATGAGGATATGCAACTCACATTTGACATAGATAGGACATTGGATAAGTTCTGGATAACATAGAAAGATTGTGGATATTTACAACATATGTGACTATGAAATTCTAAACATGGAGAAAGTGTAGAGCTTCGGAAACTGATCTGACAAATTGCTTTCAGATGTATATGGAGCCCAAAATGACTTGTATCAGAATTTTTTACGCCAGACTCACGGTAATGAATCACTTGAAGAACTAACTGCCATCAGAAAATACCATGCAAGAAGAAAGCAGTTGGTACACAGAGAGACAAAATGTCTACGTGACATAAGATTTAACATGCTGGAGAGTAAAGCTGCAAGTAAATCTGATAGGCTGTCTATAAAATCACGCGATACGATTTTACACAAAGCAAATCTTGAATATAAACGAAAGGAAGATGATATAATGTGAGAAAAAACAATTGTCAAAGAAAAATTACAAAATGCAAAAGCAAAATGTGAAAGAAAAGAAGCAGAGTTGAATAGTACACTTAACATATTAAACATTGAAAATGAAGCCATGAAAGACTCAGATTCACAAGTGATTGACAAAGACAGCAATGACAGCATTATAAATTAGGACAATTTAACAAAAGATTACGTTGAAAAGCTTTGGCATCTTAATCCCAATGTGCAAGATTATTCATGGAGTTAGTTGGCCCTGATATTACAAACATTTATCTTAATTCTTAATGAAAAAAGATTTACAGCTTTCAAGATTTACACGATTTGATGATAAACCTGAAACCTTTGATTCGTGGAAGCCGAGCTTCAAGAATGTATCTGAGAATTTTTGCCTAAACAATGCAGAAGAAGTTGATTTGCTTATAATGTATTTTGGTCCGCAATCTAGGAGATCAGCAAGAGTCATTAAGGCTATTAACATATAATTTGGAGAAAGCTAGGGAAGAGGTATGGCGTCAAATGGACAAAAGGTGTGGAAGACCGGAAATGGTCCAAGCAACACTCAAAAGAAGCAAGAATTGACTATATAAAGACATGTCAAAACTGTATGATCTCCTAGATATTCTTTGTGAAATTGAATATTTGAAAAGCAATCCAAAGTTCTCTTCTATACCGGCTTATTTTGATTCATCTTTATATGCAAATAGAATTGTGAGGAAATTACCACATGGTATCTAAGAAAAATGGACATACAATGCTTCTAAGTACCAATGTGATTATAATAACGTCATATATTAAATATATTATATTTATATTAAATTATATTATAATGTTAAATTCTTTGTAAACTTTGTAAGAGAAGTCACCACTACTAAAAATGACCTGTCTTTTAGAGATGACATCGAGTAATAGATGTCAACAAGAAAACAGGCAATAGAACAAAAGCTTACTGATGACAACACTACCAGCCAAAGGTATCCTATACATAAGGCATACCACTCACTTAACATATGCAAAGAATTTAATAAAATGGAAAGAAGAAAATTTATCAAGGAAGGTGATTTGGTATTCGTGAAGGACAATGAACTCCACCGTAATCATTTGCCAACTGGCGTTATCAATAAGGTATTCGCTAGTTGTGATGACAACATTCGTACAGTAGAAGTTGCAATAACGTAACACCTATGTGCATCCAATCAAAGAATTGGTTATTCTTGTTCAGCAGGGTTACTTACTAAAGACTTTTGTTGTGATTAGTAAATTGTGTGACTGATGAACTGATTTAATTCTCTTGGATAATAAACTGTTATCTTGAGAAATTCAAAAGACAATATGCTCAGAATTTAATGATTGTTCATGTCCAATTTTAAAGTACGATTAAGTTACACTTGTTGCATCATATGGAATTTTATTGGATTTTTTAAATATATTAATTTGATTTGAGTAATCATGATCCATTTATCCATTTATTTTATTTGGGTGACATTTAGGCCTTGAAATTATTGGTACTAATTATTGTTTTAATTAAGAATCTATGAAGTAATTTTATTAAAGTTTTTACTATAATATTAATTCATTAAAATAGTATTGTTTCAAGATTTAAATGTTTAGTAGAGCTTAGAAGTGTGAAAATTATGAAGCCATTTGTAAAGACAGAACTAAAGACATATCCAACTTGCCACTTTAGGTCAACCATATCCATTTGTGCTGAAAAGGGTAATAATGGAATAATAAATGGAGTAATTGGAAACAAAGATTTTCTTTCTATAGAACAGCACCAAAACTTTATAAAGAAGATGAAGAAATGCAAGTTACACTGGTATATACCATGGGAAAGGAAGCTGACAATTTGCTAAAATCATTTGAACTATCACAAAGTAACACACTGTTTTAACAAAATTCGATGAAATTTTAATCCCAAGAAAAACATCATTTATGAAAAAGCAAATTCCATAAAAGAAACCAAATACCAGGTGAAACAGTGGAAACGTTTATTGGATCATTATATGAGTTAGTGGACAGTTGGGATATGAAAAAAGATAAAATAAGGGATTAAACCATAGTTGGGATTTTAGATAAAACTAGAAATGTGTCCATAGGACACGGATGCCCCCACACGTCACTGTTCTGCCAATCTTATGACTCTAGGTCAAATATTTTTTGGACTGCATGTGCCACAAGTTGAAAACTAAAAATCAACAAAGGGCCACTTATTCTGTTAAATTTGGTCGCAGCGAAAATTCCTTCCTTTACTACCATCTACACATTAAGGTTGTTCATCCCTGGAAGTGTAAGCAAAATCTGCCATCCGGTTTAAGAGGAGTTGCATTCACAAGAATTCAGTATGTACGGACAGACGGACCGACTGGCGGACGGACGGACAAGTGCAACGCTATATGCTCCCACTTTTGGGGGCATAAAAAGTGTCAGAGAAACTACAGCTTGAGATTTTACTCTTGAAAATGAATAACAATGGCAAGAAAAAGCGAATTAGTAAAAAAACAAATTCGATCACAACAACATGTAGCTGTAACAGACAAAGTTCATGGCAAGGCGAAGCCAAAAAGAAGTTCGCGACCGCAACTATACGTTTCTCAACAGTAGGGTGAGAAGCAGAAATATCAGTGACCAAATCTACACAATCTGACAAATCTACACAATTAAAGAAAAAACGATAATGAACGGTGTCCAAATTGAAATAAATTTCACGCGCAAGGACATTGCTCAATGTTTGGAAATGTCCGAAATGTGGACATTATAATCATTTTGCAGTGTGTTGTAAAACTAAACAAGAGCTGTCGGTAGGACAGCAACGCTCGACTATTCTTAGTGCTTGATAGTAAAAAAAGCCTTGATTAAAAAGTAAAATTTTCTAAGTAAAGAAAAAGGCAACATTTTTCTTTAAATCCGTATTACAATTATATGCCTTGGAGAGAGTCCTATTATGCTCTCAAAGAAGAGTATAAAATTTCAACATGTTTCAAAGCCAGATGTCAATGAATTTTGAAAATATTTGAGGTATTACAAAAACTTTAACGTAAATTCTAAGTCGAAAAAGGGGCATATTTCTGTCAAAATGATTGATAGAGTTACCTCCTCCTGTGTACATGTTGGGGTCATGATGGTGAACAAGTGTGCAAAGTTTCAAAGCCAAATGTCAATGGACTTTGAAAATATTTGAGGTATTACAAAAACTTCAACGTAAAATCTAAGTCGAAAAAGGGGCATAATTCTGTCAAAATGCTTAATAGAGTTACCTCCTCCTGTCTACTGGTTGGGGTCATAATGGTGAACAAGTGTGCAAAGTTTCAAAGCCATATGTCAATGGACTTTGAAAATATTTAAACTATTACAAAAACTTTAACGTAAATTCTAAGTCGAAAAAGAGGCATAATTCTGTCAAAATGCTTGATAGAGTTACCTCCTCCTGTCTACAGGTTGGGGTCATGATGGTGAACAAGTGTGCAAAGTTTTGAAGCCATATGTCAATGGACTTTGAAAATAAAAGGTAAAGGTCTTGTTTATTATAGTGTCACCCCTACTGAAAGGGCCAGCCATTTTGACTTATGAGACACCTTTTGGTTGCATACCATGTACCTCCCAATTCCTACCACTATGCCAGGCGCCAGGCGGATAGAAATCGGTAACCACTCATTTTAACTACCTATTTGAGGTATTACAAAAACTTTAACGTAAATTCTAAGTCGAAAAAGGGGCATAAGTGGTTAAGCCGACGCAGACGCTGACACCGACGCTCGGGTGACTACAATAGCTCTACTTATTCTTATCGAATAGTCGAGCTAAAAAGTACATGAACTGTTATTTAGGAACTTTTGACTCAGTATGAGATGAACCTTGGACAATTTAACTTCAGCTGAGAGATTTGTTTGTCTACTTTAAATTAGACACTGGTGCTGATTTGACTGTTATTCCTGAAAGTCTTTATAATACTTTAGGCAAACCAAAATTGAATAAAACTCACAGATAGTTATACGGCCCAGTTAACAAGAAGATGATAGTAGTCGGTTCATCTGCACAGACCCTTTCATGGTAACTCTTCACAAGAAGATATATACGTTGTAAGTCAGAATGCTTTGAATGTTAACATATGAGCCGCGTCACGACAAAACCAACGTAATGCGTTTGCGACAAACATGGATCCAGACCAGCCTGCGCATCCACGCAGTCTGATCAGGATCCATGCTGTTTGCTTACAAATCCTATAACAAGTAGAGAAACTGATAACGGATGCGCAGGCTGGTCTGGATCCATGCTGGTTGCAAACCCATTATGTTGGTTTTATCATGACACTGCTCATATGCTTTCGAATTATGTATATTCAATTGTGTTCTGACCATCAGTCATTTAGACAATAGTTCAATTTGTACAGATAGAACTTAAGAAAAATCAAACTTGCTTTTTTTAGGTAAATCTCGTACTGATGGACGGACAGACGGATGGACAGTTCAATTACTAAATGCACATAGGCATAAAAAAATGAAACAAGTAAGCACTATGTCAAGAAATTTTCTTGCAACGAATAAGTTCACAGCACTATGCAAAGAAACCTAAAACATTTTATTGCAAATTAAACTAAATTCCAATTAATAACTGAAAACCTAATCAACATGGAAATTCAAATAAGAAAGTTCTATTCAAATACATGTAATAAGAAAGTTCTATTCAAATACATGTAATAAGAAAGTTCTATTCAAATACATGTAATAAGAAAGTTCTATTCAAACAATAAGAAAGTTGTATTCAAACAATAAGAAAGTTCTATTCAAACAATAAGAAAGTTCTATTCAAACAATAAGAAAGTTCTATTCAAATAATAAAAAGTTTGATCAAAGGACAATCTGACAAAGGTTAGCACTTTTTAGGACTAGATTTAAGTCATGATTAATTTCAGGACAAGAAGTACCAAAAAATATGAAATCCCAATTATTATGGCATTTAAATTAATTTGATAATCAAATACTTAGTAACAGAAATTCCAAACAACTTCCTTAACCAGTTCTAGTGTTAAGAATAATTTAATGAATAATTAATGATATTGTTTATTTTGAACTAAAATAACTTAATTATAAGGTTAAATGAATTTGACCTTTAAAACTCTTTTTCATTGGTGGATTTTAGTTTATGCATTACGTAGGCAGTAAACAACTTTCTATTGGTCGCTTATATTACTGGCGGTAAACATTTTTGTCTTTTGCGCTTCTACAATTTTTGTTCATTCTGTATTTGTTTGACAAGTAGATCACATGTTGAGATTCTAATTAACTAAAAGTTTATTGAAAGGTTATTTTACAGAATTGTTCAACTTAAGTTGAAAATTTATTTGTTTTATGGACTGGTGTATTGTTCATCAGATTTCTTATTGTGCAAATCGAGAGGAGTTTTCGTATTTAGTAATTATTTCATTGAATACGAATAAACTTTATTCTGTACTTCTTGCCGAGTAAGCAGTTTGTATTTTTGACTAAGATGTCTTCCAAGGAGAAGGAACAGGCGAAGAAAAAATTATTGCCTTCTAGAAGTAAGAGAATGGACTATAAATTGTTAAATGACGGATTCGGAGATGAGGACCATGAATCCTTATGGACAGAGGAGCTCATGGAAGATATTAAATTGTTTTCTGATTGCACTACTGAGACAAAACAATTAGAACAAGCAATTATCATAGTATTGCAAGCAATCCATAAGTCCCCTACCGGTTAGAACCCCATCAACAATCTGAAGGGCCATTCACTAATGTTTCAATTTTTCTCTATTTTAAGTAAATTTGTTGGAAAAGTTCTTTAAAAGTGATCACAGGAAACAGCTTTTATGAACAGACAGACGGACTGAAGGACACTCTAAAGTTAATATTTGAAACATCCCTGTTACCAAAATATAACATTTTAAAAGCAAAATTCTTAAACAGGAGATAACTCTTGAATTAAAGATGCAATTTCATAAAAAATGTTCAGCTCTTTTTGACTAATCACAAATATTGTTATATTTGCCATGTTTTAAGCCTATTTGTTGCCAAGGCAACTGATATTTTTTCAAAATAGGAAGAACAGATAAGACATGCATAATCTCAACACTGCTATCTACCCATATGTCAAGTTTCATAAAAATATTTCCAGTACCTTTTTGAGTTATCACTGGATTCATTTTATGTGTAAAATTTGCCATATTTTCAGTCTATGTGTTGCCATAGCAACCAGAATTTTCAACAAAGGAAGAAAAGAAAAAGACGTGCATAATCTCAAGACAGCCATCTACCCATATGTCAAGTTTCATAAAAATATTTCCAGTACTTTTTGCTTTATCACTGGATCCAGTTTATGTGTAAAATTTGCCATATTTTCAGCCTATTTGTTGCCATAGCAACCAGAATTTTCAACATAGGAAGAAAAGAAAAAGACGTGCATAATCTCAAGACTGCCATCTACCCATATGTCAAGTTTCATAAAAATATTTCCAGTACTTTTTGCGTTATCACTGGATCCAGTTTATGTGTAAAATTTGCCATATTTTCAGCCTATTTGTTGCCATAGCAACCAGAATTTTCAACATAGGAAGAAAAGAAAAAGACGTGCATAATCTCCATACTGCCATCTATCCATATACCAAGTTTCATAAAAATATTTTCAGTACTTTTCAAGTTATCGCGGGATCCAGTTTTGTGGACGGACGGACTGACGGACTGACAGACGGACGGACGGACGGACGGACAGACGGACGGAGGGTAAACCTAAAGTCCCCTCCAGTAAACCAGTAGGGGACTAATTACATATCTTATTCAACAATTAAGAAAAACTTCTTTCACACAACAAAACATGTATTATGCTGTTTTTGTTTTTTATTATTTTTTTGGGTTTTTTTTGTTTCTTTTTGTTTTATGTTACTGTTGTTTTCTTTTCTTTTTGCCAAACAGGTAACATACAAATTCAATATGTCAAACAAAATTTGCTGAAAGTGGTCATCTCTCAATGCTGGTATTTTAGAGTTGGCAAGTTGTGGGTGCCCAGGATCCCTAATGATTATAAACATAGCAGTCCGGGATTGTACAAACTGTCATAAGAGATAGGGGTTTAGCTAGTTTACATGTATATTTCATTTCAACATGACTTGTTTAAATATTTAAGATATGAATGGAAATACTGATTTAATACTGATTTAAATCAGAGTCTATATAGTTATAGTCTACAGTTTACCTATCTCTAACTTAATAATTCTGCAGTATTTACTGAAGTACGCAAGCAACTACAATTCTAAAAGTTAAGCAGCATGGGGAGATAACTTTCTGTACAATCATTGGTTTATTAGGGAGACAACTTGCATACAAGATTCCATTATCTCTAGAAATAAACAAGAGACAAAATTAAAGTGTTAAGAGAGAGATAAGTTACAAAAATATGCCAGGAGATTCAAAATAAATTTACACATATTGTCAAACTAACATCATACATTACTCCCAAACTTGAGATTACACAAAAACAGTGAGCAGACATTCACTAATATTATATACATGTATTTGAATTTTAGTCTAGTACACCATGGTCACCATTTGTTATCCAGTAACACAGGGATGTGTAAATAACAAGAAATATAGCAATGAATAGTATTACCGACTTTGAGCAAATCAAGGGCAGAAACCAACTTTGTGTTACTATTCCGCAATTCACATCATGTGTTACTGGATATAAATGGTGATAGTAAAGCAGGAGCAAAATATCACAGACTAGAAAAATAAAACATGGAATGAATAAAAATATTTTCGCAAACTTAAGTAAAAATAAGAAATAATCCTGCAGAACTTATTTTCTGACAACATCAATTGAAACATTTTTTTTAGAAATTCTGATTCAGCAAATATGAACAATTTTCAGTCAAATATTTAAAATTATAATAATTCATATGTTTGAGCCAATAAAACCTTCAACACATAGATCAACAGGTATTTCAGTACTGAAAAAATATTTATTCACAAAACTAAATCTTAATCAAAATAAGCTTTTGAAATGATTAAATCAACGAATCTATCGCTTTTCTTCTCGGTGTTTGACAGTAATTACAATTCAGCAAAGCATCATTTGTACATTTATGTGCTGTGACAATTAAAAAGTAATATGTTTAAGTTTCATTTAACTTTTTATCATTTTTCATTAACTGCAACATAATCTATTTAAGAACTAGTTAAAAACAAGCCCTGAAATTTCAAATTCAAATACTTGACAAGTCCTTTATACAATCTTAACAGGGACAAAGGAATCCCTTACAGTGATAATGCCATTATACAATATTCATCATGACCAAAGTTATCTCTTACAATGCTATCTGCTATCCATGTTAAATTGTGTTTATACCAGATTAAAGCAAAGCCAACGGGCACATAAACCTTACACCCATGCTCTAAACAAGCTCAATACTGCTGACTCATCAATTTCATCATTTTGATTATTGAAATCCCTACAACATACAAAGAACAGTTCCAAATTCAAATTCTGGACAGGTCTATTACAGTAAATCAGCTGGGTAAAGGTTAAGAGAAATTCAGAGAGAATCTGTAACGTCTGGATGCGTCTTCTTCTTTGTATGGGTACCAAATATTGTTTTTTCCCTACTTTTATAGGTTAAATGATACACCCTTCATGTCCGGGCAGGAATGAAAGGAATGGAAGTGTAAACTTTTGTTCCCGACAGTTTTGTTTTATTTTGGGCCCTCAAGGAGGTAAAACTCTAACCCCTGCAGTTTTTTCAAAATAGTACTTCCCCGTTAATGGCTGAAAAGTTTAAGGGAAAATTTAAAGATTAATTTTTTTGAAAAAAAAAATTTTTCATAAAAATTTTATAAATTTACACCCCAAAAAAAATGCAAATAAGCCCTCTAAAAAATTTAGTGGGCAAAACTTTTTTAAACCCTTTTTAAATCAAAAAAAAACCACTCAAAATCATTTAAAAAAAAATTAGTACTCTTTGCCTAGAAATTTTAAAAAATTTTAAAGGAAATATTTTTTGGGATTACCCTGAAAAAAAGCCCCCAATTTTAACCCAAACCCAAATTAAATTTAATTTATTTAACCACGGGAAAAAGGGGCCCCAATTTTGTCGAAATTTGTAGTAAGAATTTTTCTCCAGCAAAAAACAAAAAAAATTTTGGGAATAACTACTTTTTTTAGGTCCAATTAAAAACCTTTAAAAGGGTTGGGGTTAAAAAAGTGGGTTTTTAAAAAAATTTTTTAAAAATTGTGTATGTAAAGTAGAGATCCAAGGGGATTCCCTTTTATATTGCAATATTCTATGAAACCCAAAAATTTCAAAACTGAACCAAAAAAAAGCCCTAAAATGCTGAAAAAATTATTATTAAAAATTGCAAAAAAATTTTGAAAAATTTATTTACTGAAAAAATCATATTTTTTCCTATATCCATGATTATTATTAAAATACTACGGGAAAACTTTGGCTTCCATTGACAAATTCCCCATTTAAAAGGGTTTTATTTAAAAACTTCAAACTTTTTCATCCACCACTTATACCCAGATTTCTCCACTGGTTTAAACACAAAATGCATTCCTTCTGGTAAACGTGTTGGAACTTTGCCAAACCACTGCAGGACTACATCAATACCTGTATTACAAACACATTATTACAATATAAAGCTTAAGCTATAGATGTATCATGAGTACATGTATATGAATATCAATGTACAGGTAGAACAAAGTAATTTGACTTTTCACTTTAACAAATAACATTTTAAAATTCCTGTATACTAAGTTGTTTCAAATTCCCTTCATAAATGACATAGTTATGGACCGGACACAAAAAGTGATGGACAGACAGACAGACGGAAAGACGGACATAGACTTTTTCTATATCCGCCATTTTTTCTTTGAAAAGGCAGAGGACAATAAAAAGAAACTATGGCACTTCAATCAAATCCGGTTTTTTTTGACATTTTTTTAAAAAAACCCAAAATATAAAACTGAAATTAAGCCAAAACCCGTTTGAATTTCTCCAAAGACTGAGTTTTAATATTTAATTTGGGGATTTAACCAAATTTTAACCCCTTTTCGATTTTTAACTTTATAATGGTTTAAAGCCCAAATGGGATCCAAAAATTGTTTGTTTTTTTTTTTTTGTCTTTTTTAGTTTAAAATTTAAATTTTTAAAAATTCCCGTCACACTAAAACCCAAAACATCCCGGCCCTATTCAAATTTTTCAGTGGCTTATATGATTCATGGGAAAAAAAAACACAAAAAAAAATTTCTTCATACCCTTTTTTGAACAGGGAAAATTCCCGCGAGACCCCCAAAGGGGCCCCAAGTATTTCTTTATAGGGTATTTATGAATTTTCATAAACAATGACTAAAACTAGTGATTTAAAAAACAAACCCCTCAAAAGGTTTTTTGGTGGGGGAAAAATAAAAATAAAACAAACAAAAAACTAGTTACACAGGCCGGGGGCAGTAAATGCCCAAATTTTTTGGGTAAATTTAAAAAAGAATAAAAGTATAATTTTTCTTCAATACAAAAAGTTTTTTTCCAACTGAGAAACTAGAAAAAATGGTGGCATAATATTTCCGGGAATTTTTCACTTCAGATTTAAAAAATTTAATATTTTGTCCATTTTTTTACACGTCTTAAAATAGAATAAGTTTTCTTTAATAAGGAAACCCCCCAAAATTAGTACTCTTTAAAAGTTCTCAAAAAAAAATTTATATCGATAAATTCCGCATCCATTTAAATTTAAATTTAGAAGGGGTTTTAAATAAGGGTGATTTTTTTCATTTAAAATAAATACTGATACATAAATTTTAACGTTAATAAAATTACCTTTGCTTGCAAATAAAGCAGTCACTTTAGTATCCCAGACTGTACTTTCAGCTTTAGAATTTTTGGTCATGTTTGGTTTACCAATGCCGAGGAAAAAATCTTTACTGAATGGAGTGGTGGTGTTGAAAAATTCATCAAAGTCAGTCTGATTATAAGTCCTGTATACAAACTGTCCTAGTGGATTATCAGCACCCGCCCAGTTCTTAAACAAACAAGGAATTTTGTCAGGTACAGAAATTTTATCGCCAGTTTTAAGGTGATAACTGAGTATACAAGAAGAATGCCCATCAAAAACAACTGACATTAGGTCGGTAAGCACACAATTGCCCAAAATTTTAGGTCCGTAAGCACACAATTGCCCAAAATTTTAGGTCCATAAGCACACAATTGCCCAAAACTTTAGGTCCCTAAGCACACAATTGCCTAAAATCTTAGGTCCGTAAGCACACAATAATTGCCCCAAATTTTATGTCATGCATCGTACATGTAAATTTACAATGTATTGGGTTTTATTACAACTTTTCTATTTTGAAAAAATAATTTCTATTCTAAAACCTATATTATCATTTTGATCTATATTTATGTATGCTAAATGTTACATTGACATTACCACCTTAACAGATGTTACATCATTTTTGTATGTTGTTGATTTTCATTTCTGATAAAGACATACTAAAGTTGCAACAAGCAGAATGTGTTGTCTTGGTTTTTTACATTATTATGTCATGTGACACAAATATGAGTGTTATAAGAGAGAGGTATAATATGATATACAGCACACAAAATGTAACAATAAATAACAAACACCTTGAATAATACCTTCAATTTGTAACTACATGTAGGTATATAATTAGCTTTGTTTCTAAAATCAAAATATTACCATTTCATGTTTAAATATTGAATTCTGCTTATGCCAGTGCTAGGGGGCATGGACGGTAGTTTGCACGTCCAGGAACAGGCTCAATCAAACCGAGCCTGCAACATTTTTAATTTTGACATGTTGGGCTTTCTTTAGGGACTCTTATTTTCTCTATTTTTTGACAAATTGTCTTGGTTAAGAAATTATTTAAAGCAAAATTGTTGCAAATTTCACACACTGAAACACTGTTTAAGATTGAACACAACAAATACGTATCATATTTGACCTTGACTTCTGAGCTAGACATTTACAGCACCAACCCATCAGATTTATGTTATGCTAATAATATTATAATCTATAACTACTAAATCACATGATAGAAAATAAAATATTACCTGTCCCTTTAAATCTATCAGTTTAACAAGTGCCCCTTGAGTATTAAACTTTAAATCAAAACCTCCACAATTTTGTGACGAAGAAATATCCACCTGATGAAAATCTGCAAAGCACAAATACTTTATATTTGCTGTTTAAAATCTAACAAATTTAAACATTTTTTCTTGTAAAATCATTAGCATCAAAGAGATTAACTTTGGAATAAATACTTCACTGACACTCTTTATTTTGAAATAGTAAAATGTAACTTCAGGAAACTAAAGTATACAGCAGAGATGACAATATCAATTGTTTGGTGTTCCCACACTGCATTTGTTCATTTTCATTCATTTTTTTTTGGTCAAACCAACAAAGTTAAGGTCATTTGGGGGTTTTCCAGCTTAACTGGTGAAAAAAGACCTCAGGATCTGAGTAGAACCAAATGTCCCTCATTACTGTGAGTATGAATCCTGACAAGAACCTTGGATTCTTTCACATGAGGAAGCTATCCAGCTGGCTTATGGAACATCGGTGGTTCTACTCAGGTGCCTCTTCTTGCCTGAAATAATGCACCGAAGGGTACTGGAGGTCTTCCTCCACAAGATAAGCTAGTAAGTCGCCATATGACCTATACTGTGTTGATGCAACTTGAAACCCAACCAAAAAAAGCAGAAAAAAATACACCTATTTTTATCAGGTAAATTTGGTATAATGTTCATTAACTACAACTATTGCCTGTAAGATCAGGGCTTTTTTGGAGTTATAATCATAAACTAAAAGGTTTACCTGTTAAATCAGGGACATTTGGCATTATATTTAAAAACTCTTGTTTTAAATCTTCCACCATGGAGTGATTGCCGAGTGCTTCAATTGCTAGATTTGTCATATACCTTTGTTCATCCCAATACTTTGATGCATTCTGATAACCACTGTCTGAAATAAAAACAACAACAAAATTATAAACAATGTTTAAGATCTTTGTTAAGACTCAGTCAAATATTTTATATATCAATTAAGTAGGGATGTCATTTGGAGTCAAAATCACCATCCAGATCTGCAGACATTTTCACAAAAAATCTTACGATTTATCTTAAGTTTTTGACTTACATGTACGATAATCGTAAGTTAAATCTTAAGTCATTTTCACAAAACCACTTGTAAGTTAAAATTACATCTTAAGATAAAAACATCCCTAGCAACGTTCATTTGATATTGATGTGCATGCTCTATATTTGATTCCGGTTTTAAAATCAAGTAATAAAGAACTTGAAATATGTATTAAACACAATCAAATTTCAATAAGAACAAAAGAATGATTCAAACATATATTTCCTATCTTTATTTAAAAATAATTTTATGTATCTAAGTGATTCAGCTACGTTATTGCTAAGGGATTAATAAATAAAAAGGTGCCACTAGTACATGATGGCAATAAAATCGAACTCACAAAATTGTACAAATTATTAGTTTCCAATAATACTACAGTTTAGTTCTCATTTAAACTATTCATAACTCTCTCCATTGAGACGTCATCAAGTCATGACGTCACAAATGTTTATGTTGAAAAATAATTATACCTTAATTTGTGTTATTTATAACATACTGTTTGCTTTATATATATTTGTCCTCCAATTTTTGTTTGTTTTTATTCAGTTTAGGTAAGAGATACATGATATTTCACCCTTAAGAGAGAAAAAATTACACTTACGAACGGGGAACACCTATCGTAAAGTTACGGCAGGTTTTGCACTTAAGATTTTCTTAACATTTTTTGTGAAAAGGAGAATTATCATAAGATTTCTGTTACGATAAAAAAATGTCGTAAGATTTTTTATGAAAATGTCTGCAGACATCCGGATACATTGTTCTGATTGTTGTTTTATTTATTATATTACAAGCATGTTATATAATGAGCATGCAGATATTGACATGTGATTTTCACAATCTGTCAACATTTAGTGACATATGATCATGAATGAGATCCATTTCAATAACTATTCAGTTATGAAACAGCAGACCTGTAAAAATTTTTAACCATAAAAAAGAATAAATGCTTAAGAAATTCAAAAAAAGCTTCAAATAGATAAAGGAATGCAGAATTATGAACAATTATGAACAAAGTCAAAACTAATGTTTTATTACATTTTGTGCCAGATTAACATTTTCTTTTCCTATTCATAGACTTTGGACCAGAAGTCATTTGAGCTAGTGGTTTCAATAAGTCTACTAGCCCATTCATGTTTTTATAGGCCAAAAATGTTTAACTTTGAAAGTGGAAAATAAAATTAAGAATAATGACATATATATTTATTTTGTAATTCTATGCCCTGAAAAAGCAGTTGTTCCATTTAGAAGTCAGTCATTTCATTTTCAGGAACTAAAGTGATTGACTGCTAAATTTCTACAGGTCAGTCTGGAAAACTCAGGAAATTTTACAGGCCTTGCCAAATACTGCTAGCCATGTGTTAGTGAACATGTGCTTAATTTGCAGACTGTATTAAAGCTTTATATTGAGGTACAAATGTTATAAAATCTGGCATAGATGATATTTTAACCATATCACATAATACATTGTATAACATTATGATTAGATAGGAAGTATATTATAATACAAACTAGGAACTGTCAGCATTTTGTAGAACTGGTCATTTGTCCAGTGTATATTGTCCAGTATTCCTCCGTTAGATCCCCAGGTATGCTCTGCTAACTTCAACATAAATCTACTAGCATTATACACCCTCGGGTCATCTAGAGAACATTTTTCTGGAAAAAAAAAGGATATATAGAAATATGAACTCACCATTCTAATTTTTCAAACTATTATCATCTGAGAACAGTCTTGTGAGCAGACCTGGGGCTGATTACATTGATCAGTAATTGATTAATTATAATAACTTTCAGATTTTATTGTAAATGATTATGATTGATTACTCAGACTTGCCTCTGTAATCAATTAAATTACAATTATTTTAAGAGAGTAATTGATTGATAATAGATTACATTCAACATACAAATGTAAAACAAATGTTTAACTGTGTCATGTGAAATAAATAGATTTTCAGAATATATTCACTGTCTTTTCTCTAAAAATAGATTTTCTGGAAAGCCCACAAAAGACACGTGATGTGACGTCACGCCAAGTTTGTTGTTATTATTCTGAAAGCAAACTGTTGGGCGACTCGCAAACGAAAGTCAAATAAGACTATTAAAGTAACCGTCTTTACATTTTAAGAACATTAAGAATTTACAGTAGCGTGCCAATGCGGATTAAAATACTGGGCCAAATTATGGAAAAAGAAAACAAGCTGAGCGTCGATTTCCGTCGTATTCAATGGAAGATTTGATAGCCAATATAAAAGGGATTTATAAATAATATAATAAATCAGATATGTACTTTGAAGCTGGTAAATATGACGTGATATGAACTAAAAAATTAATACTGACCTCAGCGATATTAATTTTTTCAGAACATATCACATTGACACAGTAAAGGTCATATCACGACGTTCCAGCTTTACTGGTGGAGGAAAACCTCAGGCAAGAACGGGCACGAGTAGAACAGACGTTCCGTAAACAGCTGAAGCTGCCCACATGAAAAGAATCAAGTCCGTTTCGGGATTCAAACACAAGAGTGAGGCAAAGTGGTTTAAGTCAACAAATTAACCACTTGCCACGGGCCCCCACATCATATTCACCAGCTGAAAAGTCCATATTTGTATACTATTCTTTAATCAATAAAACACATACTTGATTTAATGCATTTGGAGCGTACTCTATACTGAGCTCTCAACAAGGCAGTTTTCAACGGGTCAGAACCAGCTCCCTGTATCCAAACATCGCCCATCTCCTGACTAAACACTGGTAACGAGGACTGATGAGGTATCACTAAGGCAATAAAATCCTCAAATTTAGAAGCGTTTATTCTCGCATTTGGAAACTGTGCTCTCACTATCTCATAAACCGTCAATACTTCCTGATAAATGTTTAACAAATTAGACAAAATTGCTTATACATAATACAATAATTTATGGCGTATCCCTGAATTTGAATGTGAAAGTATACAGTAATATGCTGGATAGGGGTATCAAGTTTATTCGTTTAAACAAGTTTGGTCGATTTTTAGCCAAAAACTGGTTAAAAATTTCAATAACCTATAACCCAGGTAAGCATTAGACCAACAACTTAAATTTTTTTAGATTGATTCTAAAAAATCATATTTGTTTCTTTATGACAAGAAATGACATCTTGTTTTTTATTTGAAATGTATTTTTTTCCGATTGCATGCTATCTTATCATGTACAGTATGATACTAAAGGACAACATGTTACTCCGTACTTGGTTTAAAATCATTGTTGAGTACAACAAACTACAAACAAAATGTGCTATCTTATCATTAAAAAATATAGTTAATGTTAAAAATTGTACACTTCTTCTAAAACATACAGATAAACATTTAACACAGTCATTAAGTCGCCATTTAAACAGATAGCATTTTTGCTAACACAGACATCCCAAATGCTGGAATAATCCCTAGTCTATGGACTCTGACATCAAATCACTCGTAACTAACTGCTGTAAGATTAAATACGGCCAAAGACACTGCATTTAATTCTGTGAGAATGCTGGCATATAGAGTCAATAGTAAATACCTAACTGTCAAATATCCTTTGAATTGTCCATATGAATATAATAATTATGCCTAAAACTCCATTTAAAAGCTTCATATATTTACCTTGTAATCTACGGGTGGGCCATCATTATCACTTCTAAAAGCAAAACACAAAGCGTGGTTTAAACCCGGGACTATTGCGCAATCATTTTTTGAGAGGCCACCTGGTTTCATAGGTGCTGGTCCATACTGGTTTGGATACCCTCCTGCAAAACAAAAAAACATAAATAGCAAGTTGAAAATAAATAATATAACTACAATGTCTCTGATGATGACAGCTGATACCAACCAATCATCAATTATCATTTGTATGGATTTTGGAAAATGTCCAGCTCGAGATTGTTTTGAATCTCCGAGATTTTCCTGCTAAATAAATAAATCATTATTTTTCGGAAATCTGCACCCTTACCCTTCTGTTTGGATTATTTTTATTCTCATACTAAAGGTCTTGGCTTGTAATGCAGAAATCTTAACCATTCAGCCACTGCTATCCTTGGTAAACAAAACCAATCACTTACTTGAATAGTAAACAAAACCAATCACTTACTTGGATGGTAAATAAAGCCAATCACTTACTTGAATAGTAAACAAAATCAATCACTTACTTGGATGGTAAATAAAGCCAATCACTTACTTGGATGGTAAACAAAACCAATCACTTACTTGGATGGTAAACAAAACCAATCACTTACGTGAATGGTAAACAAAACCAATCACTTACGTGAATGGTATACAAAACCAATCACTTACTTTGATAACAAACATAACCAATCACTTACTTGAATAGTAAACAAAATCAATCACTTACTTGAATAGTAAATAAAGCCAATCACTTACTTGGATGGTAAACAAAACCAATCACTTACTTGAATAGTAAACAAAATCAATCACTTACTTGAATAGTAAATAAAGCCAATCACTTACTTGGATGGTAAACAAAACCAATCACTTACTTGAATAGTAAACAAAACCAATCACTTACTTGGATGGTAATAAAGCCAATCACTTACTTGGATGGTAAATAAAGCCAATCACTTACTTGAATGGTAAACAAAACCAATCACTTACTTGAATGGTAAACAAAACCAATCACTTACTTGAATGGTAAATAAAGCCAATCACTTACTTGGATGGTAAACAAAACCAATCACTTACTTGGATGGTAAACAAAACCAATCACTTACTTGGATGGTAAACAAAGCCAATCACTTACTTGGATGGTAAATAAAGCCAATCACTTACTTGGATGGTAAACAAAGCCAATCACTTACTTGGATGGTAAACAAAGCCAATCACTAACTTGGATGGTAAACAAAGCCAATCACTTACTTGGATGGTAAACAAAACCAATCACTTACGTGAATGGTAAACAAAACCAATCACTTACTTGGATGGTAAACAAAACCATTCACTTACTTGGATGGTAAAGGGTAATTAATGACTGGTTCCCATTTTTCCACAGGAACACTGGGGGAACCGCAGCTGGACAAGTTGCTCCGTTGACCCCGATAGACAAGGCAGATATACCCATCTTCTTTAATATTGGAATAATAGCTTGTGTAGTACCTAAAATACAATCAAATAAAAAAATATATTCCTCCTTATTCTTACCTTTCTATATAAGAAAATTAATAGATAATATTGAATGAGTGAATGTTGAATACTAAATTTATTTAACTAATTGAATAAATTTATTTTAGAAATTTAGCTACATGATTAAAATATTCTATTTATGACATACCCAAAATACGAACTATTTACAAAAAAAAACCACCCTTTCATTGACACCTTATAGATTAACTTTAACATTTATCATGTCTTTCCACTATGCTTGTATATAAACACAAATGATGTCATGTTAAATTTAAAGTACAACTGTGCAAAAAGGAGCTGTGATAGCTGCACAGGTATGTGATAAATTACTTTATCCCATGATCTTGCTTATTCATTCAATAATCTATTCATTACATATTTCTTTAGAGCACAAATGTTGTATATATTTTCTGACTTTATAAAGTCCTGCAATAAAAGGCATCAACAGAATCTGTAGGTGGTAATCTGATATAACCATCAAAATTTTTTTTTAAGTATCATGAACATTTTTTACTAACCTGGCACATCTCGTTGACTGACCGTCCTGTATTTTCTATCAATACCAAACCTTTTATCTAGATCCAGACTAAGCTGTATACCAAATTCATTCATTGACTCATCCATCATTTCAAACTCCATGTTCATTGGACCAGCATGCCATGTTATAAATCCTAGTTTGATGGCATTTATAAAGTCTGTCTTACTCTCGGCATCAGGGCACTGCAGAAAGTATTAAACAATAATTGAACCAACATAATGGGTTCGCGACCAGCATGGATCCAGACCTGTCTGCGCATCCGCGCAGTCTGATCAGGATCCATGCTGTTCGCTAACAGTTCCTCTACTTGTAATAGGGTTGGTAAGTGAACAGTATGGATCCTGATCAGACTGCGCGGATGTGCAGGCTGGTCTGGATCCATGCTGATTGCAAACCCATTATGTTGGTTTTGTCGTGACGCGGCTCATATAAATATCATGTTATTTATTTTATAAAATAGATTTACCTGATGGCCCATGCCCAATAAGATAATGTCTTAGAAACTTCACTTGAGATTTTGTAACAAGAGGGCCATGATGGCCCTGAGGTCGCTCACCTGTATATAGGCCCCCCCCCCCCCAACGTTGCAAGGCCAATTTAATTTGCTATTATTTGCACAAACTTGGTAGACACCCATACGAAGATGTTTCATGCTAAAGATCTAAGCTCTAGCTCATTGGGCTTTTTAAAAGAAGATTTTTTTAAAGTTTTTACTATACACATATAGTTAAAAACAATGACACCCCTGGGGCCGGGCCAGTTTTGATCCCAGGGCTTTCATTTGAACAAACTTTGTAGACACTTACTAGAAGATGTTTCATGCTTAATATCTAAACTCTAGCTATTTGGGTTTTTTCAAAGAAGATTTTAAGTTTTTGCTATACACATATAAAGAAAATCAATGACCCCCGGGGCAGGGCCAATTTTGACCCCAGGTCTTTCATTTGAACAAACTTTGTACACACTTGGTAGACACTTATAAGAACATGTTTCAAGATAAATATCTTAGCTCTAACTCTTTTGGTTCTTTAAAAGAAGATTTTTTAAGTTTTTACTATATGCATATAGGGAAAATCAATGACCCCCTGGGGCGGGGCCAATTTTGACCCCAGGGCTTTAATTTTAACAAACTTGGTAGACACCTATTAGAACATGTTTGATGCTCAATATCTTAGCCATAGCTCTTTGAGTTCTTTAAAAGAAGATTTTTAAAGTTTTTACTATATGCATATAGGGAAAATCAATGACCCCCCGGGGCAGGGCCAATTTTGACCCCAGGGCTTTTATTTGAACAAACTTGGTAGACACCCATTAGAACATGTTTCATGCTAAATATCTTAGCTCTAGCTCTTTGGGTTCTTTAAAAGAAGATTTTTTAAGTTTTTACTATATGCATATAGGGAAAATCAATGACCCCCCGGGGCAGGGCCAATTTTGACCCCAGGGCTTTTATTTGAACAAACTTGGTAGACACTCACTAGAAGATGTTTCATGCCACATATCTAAGCTCTAGCTCTTATGGTTTTTTAAAAGAAGATATTTAAAGTTTTTTCTTTCGGTTGCCATGGCAACCAGAGTTCTGCATGGAATTAAATTCTTTGAACAATTTTTAAAGGTGACCACCAAAGGAACATTCCTGTGAAGTTTGGATGAAATTGGCTTAGTGGTTTATGAGGAGATGTCATTTAAAGTAAAAGTTTACGGAGATGTCATTTAAAGTAAAAGTTTACGGACGGACGACGGACGCCGGACGGACGGACGCCGGACGAAAAGCGATCACAAAAGCTCACCCTGTCACTTTGTGACAGGTGAGCTAAAAATGTATGTTTTTCAGGGTTGATCTATTTTAACATCACATTTTATTAATCAATCTGCAGTTTTATTATACATATACGGTTCCTAGAATGTCATCCTAAATGAAAAGCCCCATTTTTGAATTGTACCTAGAATGTCAAACTAAAAGACCTCAGGTTTGAATTAAATTATCTAAAGTATTGAACATTATTTACAGTATGCTTTATACACAAAAGTTGTTACATAATTATAGATTGTTAATCAATTTACCTGAAGTTTGATACCAGATGGCAGCACCATGTTAGGTGGACAATCAAGGTACAGACTAACTAACCATGGATGTGTTGTATAAATAAACCTCTCTTGATAGCCAAGTACCAGCAGGTCAAAGGTCACTTTGACAGCTCGAGGAAAATACTCAGTAAAATATCTGTTGAGCACATTTCCCAGATATCCAAGTGATGATGGTAATGCATAGCCAACATCTAAACAAAGACAGAAATCATCCTGATTATCAGCCAGCTTCTCTAAATTACCCTACACTTTAAGGTGTCAACATAAGACAATCTGGTCTAAAGTCAAATTGGACAGAAAATACATATGTACATGTATATATACAAATAAAAGTAAATTTAACAAAAACTGCTTTACATACATAACAAGAGCTGTCGGTAGGACAGCACGCTTGACTATTTTAAGTGCTTGATAGTAAAAGAGCCTTTATAATGTTAAATTTTTTAAGTTCACAAAAGTTCACATAATTTTTTTCATAAATTCATGTTATAGGCCTTAGAGAGAGTCTAATTATACAGTATTGGCTTGACTATTAGGAAGGTAATGTCACAAGGGTGTTTAATTGAGTAAAATAATACTAATTACCTGAATACATAAATTTGACAGAAAAGGTACAAAGGCTTGTTATTAAGATGTTTTATCAAGTTAATCACTGCTTTATTATTATGAATGCATAAAATTGTCCCAAAAAAGGTACAAACCCTTCAGTAGTTATTGAGATAACAGCTTACAAGCAAAACTTTACCATGAATTTTTAAGTTGAAAAAGGGGAGAAAAATCAGCCTAAATGCAAGATAGAATTATGGATCATTGTCAGTGACCTACAATTATGACCCTAAATGCATATGTGAAGTTTTAAATAAATATCTTTAATAGTTATTGAGATATGTTAAACTATCATGTTAACATTAACCAAGAGACTAAGTAGAAAAGGGGATATGAATCAGCCTTAATGCAAGATAGAGTTATGGAACTTGGTCAGTGACATACAATTATGACCCTCCAATTATGACCCTAAGTGCATGTGTAAAGTTTCAAGTAAATATCTTTGAAGACCTTTAACCAAAATTTCTAAGTTTCAAAGGGGCAAATAATTCTGCAAATATTGCAGGCAGAGTTATGCAATTTTGCAAACTGATATACATTGTTACTATAAAAAAGTATTTTAAATTTCAATTGAATATCTCAAGCAATAAATAAGATATTTGACTTTACAAAAAAAACTTTAACCAAAATTTCTAAGTTAAAAAGGGGTATAATTCTGTCAATATTGTAGGCAGAGTTATCCAACTTGTCAATCTGATGTACCTTGTTACTATAAATAAGTATTGTAAGTTTCAATTGAATATCTCAAGCAATAATTGAGATATTTGACTTTACAAAAAACTTTAACCAAAATTCTAAGTTAAAAAGGGGCATAATTCTGTCAATATTGTAGGCAGAGTTATCCAACTTGTCAATCTGATGTACCTTGTTACTAATAATAAGTATTGTAAGTTTCAATTGAATATCTCAAGTAATAATTGAGATATTTGACTTTACAAAAAACTTTAACCAAAATTTCTAAGTTAAAAAGGGGCATAATTCTGTCAATATTGTAGGCAGAGTTATCCAACTTGTCACTCTGATGTACCTTGTTACTATAAATAAGTATTGTAAGTTTCAATTGAATATCTCAAGCAGTAATTGAGATATTTGACTTTACAAAAAACTTTAACCAACGCAGACGCCGACGCTGACGCCGACGCCGGGGCGACTAGAATAGCTCTCATATTCTTCGAATAGTCGAGCTAACAAGTAAAACCAAAGCAAAAGTTATCCCACAACAGAATTTAAATTCTGGGGGTTACAACAAAATATACATTATCATACAAAATCAGAATTTTTTCATAAGATTACAAATGTATGTAAATCAAGTTATATATGTCATTGTGCATGTTTTCCATTGTTCATTAAAAATAATTATTTGATTGTAAAATCTATAAAACTCTAAAAAAAAAAAGAATATTTTCCAGTTTCAACATGTAAAGAAATCTAAGTGGATTCCCTTGGTTAAGGGTTAGCTAACATGATAAATTTAGAAATAAAGAAGTTGTATACATACCAAGATGGTTCATAAAGATGAGATGTACATATTCTATGTCAGTTGTGCCAATTTCTTTATCTGTGTGTCCAGTACTGACCAAAATCCCACAGCTTAATAAGACTGCTGCTATTAATAGATTCATCTGCAAATGATATAAATATAAGTGTTAAAAAAAACTGACCATGCTTGCCAAGTAAAGCAAGATTTAGTGATAGTGTTCAAAACTTGTCACAATGCTTACATGTTGTGACTGAAATTACTAAAGAATTTTGAAGACAAATATCAATGAGTGTGCCATTCATTGTAACAAAAAAGTCAGTCAGAAAGCTTCAGCAGCATGAATTTGCATAATTGACCCAGTAACTGTTATGTTCAGGTTATGAGCATTTTTTCTCTCTGACCTCGTGGTGTCCAAATGATCTAGTTCAAGCATTCATAACTATGTCTCTTAAATGGGGAAAATTTGTACCAAGTAATAATGCAATCTTAATAATGAATAGCTACCTTGCCTTTGCACATTTTGATGCCTGTAAACCTCTTCTCACAATGATGAACATTTATGTTAAGAGTCCCTTAATTGATGATGATTAAATTATCTATACACATAGTTTCATTTAACCTTTTTTAACTTCAATGTGTGACCATGACCCTGGCAACAGGGACCTAAATTTTGTATGTGACACTACTTCTCAATGGTGAACGTTATAATAAAATACCTTTATGCATTTTTATAACCCAGATGAAGACTCCTGAGAGTCAAAACGTCAGTTTTTGGCTATATCCTGGATTAGACCCTGGGGTATATATCAGGTTCATTCCTTTTTCTTTAGTGTATTATATACAAGTTTTACTTCTGAAATATTCATAGGGAGATTGCCCAATTATTGTCATTAAATAAAACCTTAAAACTTATCCTGTGTTGTTTGTTTGTTTGTTTATGTACGTGGAAATTTGTTTTGGATAAGTGTTTTCCTCTGAACACCAAGTGTGACTTAGACATTTGACACAATTGTGCACAACACAACTATGGGCAGCCGCAGGACTTCGTTGAAACAACAGATGGTTGCAAAATTGATACCTGTAGGATACCGGTATGCCTAAAATACGAAAGTGAGATTTTTGACGAAAGAGAGCGAAAGTGACTTTTAAAATAGTAATTATAACATTTTAATAGACTTTTAAAACGAATTTGCAGTTTGTAGACGTATATTATTAGAAAATAATTATATTTATTAACAGAAATAATCATAATGATGATTTAATCGCTACTAATTTGCATAATTTCTATACACAAGTTCTTATATCTTCCTTTCGCTCACATTGAAAAATACGAAAGTGACTTATAAAATATTAAATATTCTGTTTTAATTGAAATTTTTACTAAAATTACAATTTGTAGATGTATATTATCAGAACTTGATGATACCTATTTTTTAAAATAATCAATATGATGATTTAATCGCTATTTATTTGCATTATTTTTATACACAAGTTCAGATATCTTCCTTTGCTCAGATTGAAAAAATACGAAAGTGACTTCAAAATATCAAATATAGCGATTAATTTAAATCTATATTAATATAACAGATTGTAGACGTATAGTTTTGGAATTTGATAATATCTATTTTTAAAAATTATCATTATGATGATTTAATCGCCATTTATTTGCACTAATTTCTATACACAAGTTCAGAAATCTTTCTTTCGATCACATTGAAAAATACTAAAGTGACATATAAAATATTAAATATACTGGTTAAGTTGATTTTTTACTAAAATTGCTCTAAGTAGACGTATATTATCAGAAATTGATTATATTCATTTTCAAAAATAATCATTATATATGATGATTTAATCGCTATTTATTTGCATAATTTCTATACACAACTACATAGATCTTCCTTTCGCTCACATTGAAAAATACGAAAGTGACTTATAAAACATTCAAAATACCGTTTATTTTGAATTTATATTAATATAACAGTTTGTAGACGCATAGTTTCAGAACAGAATAAAAAATACTTAAAAATCATTATGAGGTTTTAATATTCATGCATTTTCATTATTTCTATATAGCAATTTCAGAGATCTTACTTTCGCCCACTTTCGTATTTTCAATGTTAGGGAGAGGAAGCGAAAGTGATTTTAAAAATATCAAATATAGCGTTTAAATTGCATTTAATATTAATAATGCAGTTTGTAGACGTATATTATCAAAACTAGTATCTTTAATCAATATGATTTGATCTTCATTTATTAGCATAATATTTATACACAAGCTCAGACATTGATCTTCCTTTCGCTTACTGTGAGCCTGACGAAAGTGACTTACAGAATATCAAATATAGCGTTGAAATAGAATTTCATGATAATATTGCAGTTTGTAGACGTATGTTATAAGCTATAGTAACTATCATTTTTATAAAACTTAATATGTTAAGATGAAAAATGAAATTTATTATGTAAACTATAATTGGCAAAACATGAATTATACAATTTATGCGTTAGGGCCCCGATTTACAGTTCTCAATTTCTTAGTTACATCGTCTTTTTCGGGCAGTTTTTAATTTTTGATTAACGATGGTGTTACCTAATATTTAATATTCTGTTTATATATTATATTGTAATTATACTGTTTGATTCTAATCTAACAGTAATAGGTTTTGAATGTGTTTCTCATTATTATAATGTCTCTTGAAATTCTTAAATGGAATGGTCTTATGTATGTTTTATGTGAATAGTTGTATATATGTTTAAAAATGCAAGTATACGAATGAGACAAAATAAAGTATGAATATGTTTACATGCAAACACGTGTTGTCATATCATTTTCGCATCCACTTTAATTGATAGTACACACGACGGTGACCGCATGACGCTTTAATCCCACTAAAGAATTATTATAATCCAATCATAGGTATGTAACTGATGACACTTGCCCGGTTGTTTATTGAGTGGACAATTGAATTAACCTTTCTTCTGCACCACCATAGATATCTTGCACGGATTAAAGTGGCAGTTATTATGCTCATCCAGGTGTAGATGAGCAATGTACATGTTAATTTGAAAAATAATTTGGAATTTCCCATCATTGTTAAAATAATATTTCACTATGAAAAAAGGAAATAAGTAATCCACAGAATTTTCTATAAATATCGTACTATATATATCGGTAAAGTTCAATCTTTTTATAAGTTAGGATTTTTTTTTATATTTTGTGCTAGTCATTTTCATCATCAGTTATAGGTCAATCACCATGAAAACATGAATAATAATGAAAATGACTCATTTATTTTTTATTATAAAAAACATTAATATCGTGAATATTGACATTCACTTTCGTCAGATTAAGTCACTTTCGTATTGTTCAATGTGGGCAAAAGTAAGATATCAGAACAGGTATACAGCAATTATGAAAATACATGGATATTAAATCATCATAATTATTATTATTTTTTTTTAAATATATTTTAATCATTTCTGAAAACATGCGTCTTTCAGCGCTATATTTGACATTTTTGAAGTCACTTTCGTATTTTTCAATGTGAGGGAAAGGAAGATCTTTTAACTTGTGTAATGCAAATAAAGGGCGGTTAAATCATCATAATGATTACTTTTAAAAATAAATGTAATTGACTTCTGATTTTGTACGTCTACAAATTAATTGCAATTTTAGTAATACATTCAATTTAAACAGTATATTTGATATTTTGTAAGCCACTTTCGTATTTTTCAATGCGAGCGAAAGGAAGATCTCTGTATATAACTTGTGTATAGAGATTATGCAAAATAAATGGCGATTTAATCATCATAATGATTATCTTTGAAAGTAAATATTATCATTTCCTGATATTATACGTCCACTTTGTGCAATATTAGTAAAAATAATTTCAATTTAAACGGTATATTTTATATTTTATAAGTCACTTTCGTATTTTTCAATGTAAGCGAAAGGAAGATATAAGAATTGGTGTGTATGAATTATGCAAATAAAAACCGAATAAATCATCATTATGATTATTTTTTATAAAAAATATAAGTAATTTCTAATAATATACTTCAACAAACTGCAATTTTATTGTAAAAGTCTATTAAAACGTTACAATTAATATTTTAAAAGTCACTTTCGCTCACTTTCGTCAAAAATCTCACTTTCGTATTTTAGGCAAACCCGTAGGATACCTGTAGGATGATTCTGGGCTCTGATGGAAGGGCCAAGCCCTTTTTAAGCCCCTCTTCTTTTGACAATCTTTCAGTACTTCTTCTTATTGCTCTCACCACCTCTATGTTTAATTATATATACTTTTATCTATTTCTGTTCACTCTGCTGTACAATTATAACAGCATAATTTTTCAATAAGCATTTTAAACTTTATATGGAGTGTCTCCGGTCCAGTGTTGGTCTAGTTTTATTTTAAATTCATGAACAGTCTTTTTGAGTCTACTACATTTTTTGGCAGATTATTCCATGTTTTAATTACACGTCTTGAAAACAGATGTAGGCAATGAGTTGTTCTACTACGAGGCATTTCTAGTTTTAAATTATGTCCCCTTGTTGATGCCGAATAACTAAAAAATTTTTCAAAAACACAGTCATCTAAGCCTTTTACTATTTTGAAAGTCTGAATCATGATAAATTTTGTCCATGTACATGCAAGTGGGTTTGTTCGTTATTTTGAATATTTAAGTGTATCTATTCATTAATTAATGAAAGTCTATTATTCTATATCATGATACAACAAAATACTCTTTTTCTTCAAAATAAACTTCCCTATCCGAAAATAAAATATGTCCGAATAGTATTACAGTAAATCATTTTTCGCGGATATATCGATAAGGGAAAAATGGCCGACATGATATATGTAAATGTTTTGATTAAAAATTGATTAAATAATAGAGAGATATAAGCAAAATATAGCAACAGGTCAGTAAAAAGTTAAAAACAAAGGTTTGTTTACCTCGGAAGTCACATGAGTGGTGCTGTGAAAGGGAAACAGGACGTTTCGGCCCCAAACCAAATCGGCCCCAGTCGAAAAATCGGCCCCTGGACGTTTCGGCCCTTTTCCGCGAGACGTTTAACAATTAAACAATTATGACACTTTAATTCTTTAAATAATTATTTATTATCTTTTGATCTCTTGAACCAATTAGATGTACGTTAATGTTTTTAAAGGTGACATCTATTTTATTAGATTTCTACCAAAGGTACATCAGCGTGCTAGCATTTGGATAATTATAAATATTTTGATAATCATACAAAATACTGGGAACAGGCAAAATATGAATGTCTCGAATGTCAATTTAAGATGAAATTTTATTTGTAGTGATATGGAGGGTGCACGAATAACCGACACTATAATTGTTCTGTACTTGTATTTTCGTATCCATCAAACTCGTCACTGTTAAATAGTTGTTGATGATAATTTAATGTCTGTCTCATGTGTTGTTTTGTGTCTTGCTTCTTAATCTTTCAAATAAAATATTATCTATATATGTTGTAAATAATTGTTTGTTTGTGTATTATATTTTTTCAAATAAAGTTTATGTTCTGTTCTGTTTGTATTAATAAAATATTATCTATATATGTTGTAAATAATTGTTTGTTTGTGTATCATATTTTTTTAATTAAAGTTTATGTTCTGTTCTGTTTGTATTAATAAAATATTATCAATATCTATATATGTTGTAAATAATTGTTTGTTTGTGTATTATATTTTTTTAAATAAAGTTTATGTTCTGTTTTGTTTGTATTGATTACTTTTCCCCTACTACTATTATAATCTAGTTTTTATACAAAATGATTAAATATATATATTAATTGATTCATTTAATCATTGAAATGCTATTAATATATCGGTTTAAAATACAGTACTTATTATGGGGCCGATTTGGTAAAGGGCCGAAACGTCCGGGGCCGAAACGTCTTGGGTAGTTTGGGGCCGATACGTCTTGGGGCCGAAACGTCTCGAAATCGAGCCACAAAGGACTACTAAAGAGGCACAAAGGACCTTAAAATACCTCCTAGGCCATTCTTATGTTACATGGTATTATTTCTAGTGAAAAAAAATTATGATTTTAAGAAAAAATATGATTTTGGTGAAAATTTTATGAGTTCTCGGACCGCTAAGGACTGCTCAGATACACAAAAGACTGCTAGGGAGACACAAAGGACCTTAAAATACTTCCTAGGGCATTCTTATAATACAAGGTAGTATGTTTAGTGACAAAAAATGTATTATTTTAAGAAAAAATATCATTTTAGTGATAAAATTCATGTTTTTGAAGAATTGTCGGACCGCTAAGAACTGCTCAGGTGCACTAACAACTGCTAGGGAGGCACAAAGGAACTTCAAATCCCTCCTAGAACATTCTTATAATATATAGTAGTAAGTTAATAGACAAAAATGTATTATTGTAAGAAAAAAATATAATTTTGGTGATAGAATTTATGCTTTCGATGAGTTGCCGGACCGCTAAGGACTGCTCAGGTGCGAAAAGGACTGCTAGGGACCTTAAAATATTTCCTAAGGAGGCACAAAGGACCTTAAAATACCTGTAAGGGCATTCTTATAATACATGGTAGTATGTTTAGTGATAAAAAATGTATAATTTTCATGAAAAATATCATTATAGTGATAAAATTCATGTTTTTGAAGAGTTGTCGGACCGCTAAGGACTGCTCAGGTGCACTAACAACTGCTAGGGAGGCACAAAGGACCTTCAAATCCCTCCTAGAACATTCTTATAATATATAGTAGTAAGTTAATAGACAAAAATCTATTATCCTAAGAAAAATATAATTTTGGTGGTAGAATTTATGTTTTTGATGAGTTGCATGACTGCTTAGGACTGCTAGGGAAGTACAAAGAATCTTAAAATACCTCCTAGGGGCACAAAGGACTGCTAGGAGGCACATAAGACATTTAAATACCTCCTAGGGCATTCTTATAATATATGGTAGCATGTTTAGTGAGAAAAAATGTATAATTTTAAAAAAAATATAATTTTGGTGATAGAATTTATGCTCTCAATGAGTTGCTGGACCGCTAAGGACTGCTCAGGTGCACTAACAACTGCTAGGGAGGCACAAAGGACCTTAAATTACATCCTAGGGCATTTTTATATTATATTGTAGTAAGTTTATAGATAAAAAATGTATTATTTTAAGAAAAAATATAATTTTGGTGATAGAATTTATGTTTTCCATGAATTGGAGGACCGCTAAGGATTGCTAGGGAGGTACAAAGAATCTTAAAATACCTCCTAGGGGCACAAAGGACTGCTAGGGAGGCACAAATGACATTTAAATATCTCCTGGGGCATTCTTATAATATATTGTATTATGTTTAGTGAGAAAAAATTGTATAATTTTAAGAAAAAATATAATTTTGGTGATAGAATTTATGTTTTCGATGAGTTGCCAGACCGCTAAGGACTGCACAGGTACATAAAAGACTATAAGCGAGGCCCAAAGGACCTTAAAATCACTCCTAGAACATTCTTATAATATATAATAGTATGCTTAGTGACAAAAAATGTATTATTTTAAGAAAAAATATAATTTTGGTGATAGATTTTATGTTTTCGATGAGTTGCTGGACTGCTAAGGAGAGCTCAGGTGCGGAAAGGACTGCTAGGGAGGCACAAAGGACCTTAAATTACTTCCTAGGGCATTTTTATATTATATTGTAGTAAGTTAATAGATAAAAAATGTATTATTTTAAGGAAAAATATAATTTTGGTGATAGAATTTATGTTTTCGATGAATTGCAGGACCGCTAAGGACTGCTAGGGAGGTACAAAGAATCTTAAAACACCTCCTAGGGGCACAAAGGACTGCTAGGGAGACACAAAGGACATTTAAATATCTCCTAGGGCATTCTTATAATATATGGTAGTATGTTAAAAAAATGTATAATGTTAGGAAAAAAATATAATTGTGGTGATAGAATTTATGTTTTCGATGAGTTGCTGGACCGTTTAGGACTGCTCAGGTGCGCAAAGAACTGCAAGGGAGGCACAAAGGACCTTAAATTACTTCCAAGGGCATTCTTATAATATATGGTAGTATGTTTAGTGAGAAAAAATGTATAAGTTTAAGAAAAAATATAATTGTGGTGATAGAATTTATGTTTTCGATGAGTTGCTGGACCGCTAAGGAGAGCTCAGGTGCGCAAAGAACTGCTAGGGAGGCACAAAGGACCTTAAATTACTTCCTAGGGCATTCTTATAATATATGGTAGTATGTTTAGTGAGAAAAAATGTATAATTTAAAAAAAAATTATAATTTTGGTGATAGATTTATTGAAAGAGTTGAATAAAATCATATAATGCGAGCCTCTGGCTCGCATAATACTGTTTTATTCAACGAGTTCAATAAATTTAGAATTGAATCTACACAAATATAATATTCTATTTATCACATATACAAAATAAGAACAGTGAACTGTTAAAATGAGTAATTCAACAATGACGCGCCCATAGTGTAACGCTATGTTTATATATAGCGCAAATGACGTCATGTCAGAGTGTTATTACACTAGTGTAATATCGTTTTTATTAAATGGCTTTATAACACTCCCGCGCCGGGGTTTATGTGATAAAAATATCTATCACATAAACCGCGGCGCAGGAGTGTAATAAAGCCATTTAATAAAAACGATATTACACTAGTCAATATTACACTAGTGTAATATTAATAACACTTTGACGTCACGTAATTTGCGCTATAAACATAGCGTTAAAGCGAGCTAATGTTAGCGTTACACTATCAAAACAAGAGCGATCAGTAATCACATGTGTCGCCTCATGATGGCCAATTTCATGTTGGGACAAATTTTGTGACAGACGGACAGTGCACAACTAGACTTGGTACTGATCATTTCTGTAAAGTTTGGAAAAAAAATTGCACCAGTAGTTTATGAGGAGTAGTCCGGACAAGCTTTTGCGTATCTGGCAACACACAGAAAAAAAACACCTTTTTATCAAAGAGCCATAACTCGGCCAAAAATCTATCAACCAGAAAACCCGTGCAATATGCGCAAGGACTTGAGCTACAGATCAATCCTGTAAAGTTTCATTGAAATTGCATGAGTGGTATAAGAGAAGTAGTCCGGACAAACTTTAAAAATAAAAATTATTAAAGGGCCATAACTCTGACAAAAATCATTGAACCGGAAAATGCTGATAATATGCACAACTAGACTTGGTACTGATCATTCCTGTAAAGTTTGGATGAAATTGCACCAGTAGTTTATGAGGAGTAGTCCAGACAAGTTTTGTGACGGACGGACAGACAGACAGACGGACAGACAGACGACGGAGAAGTGATCCCTATATGTCGCCACTACTCCCTAGAGGCGACACAAAAAATGACTCTTGTTAACAGTTTACCATTCTTATTTTATATATGTGATAAATAGAACATTATATTCGTGTAGATTCAATACTAAATTTATTGAACTCGTTGAATAAAACAATATTATGCTCGCCAGAGGCTCGCATAATATTATTTTATTCAACTAGTTCAATAATTTTAGTATTAAACCTACACTCATTCAATATCCTCTATACATATATAAATATTTTTTTTAAGGAACTGAAGTGGACAGATGTAACAGAAATGAGCAAATGATTCTTTTTTACAATAACACTAAACTAATCTTGTTCTTATGTTGTATGATATGGAAGTAGTTAGCTTTGCAAATGTACATAGAAATATTTCACACTAAAATTAAATAGAATAATCATAACAGAATAATCTTATCAGGCTATATATTCACAGAAAACTATTAAAGTAGGATATATAGAATGTTGAAGTGACATTGTGGTTAAAACTAATCAATGGTTAAAACATAGATTCTTTAAGATCATTCTTTTTACAATAGAAAACAAATCATCTATCCCAGCCCCTCATAAAACAGTGAGATAAGGATCCTAACTATATTCATTCAGATGGGGCTGGCACATTATTGGAAGTTAA